CCATGCAAGCACCAAACATGTCTAAAGAACTGTAAATCATGACCACTCATGTTATGGCTGTCCCATCTCCAAATTGGCATAAGTAACCTTATGGAGAAGGAAAGGGGACTGCGGCTCTTGTAGTTACACAGCAGGACAGCTACATTGTAGCTAGTGACCATAAAGCACTTCAAGAATAGGAAATGTACTAATGGTTAAAATATTCAACAATAAACTGTTAGTTACCCAGATTATTTTTTTTAAACAAAAAATAATAAAAATCTCACTGTTAAACAACCAAAGCCATTGGCAACACCATGCTTATAAAGACCAACAGATGTCAATCCCAGCGTGTAAGGGCTGCCTCCATGGTATGCTCCTCTGTGCAAACAAACAAAGTAGATGAACATCACTCATTTCCAAGAAGGGACTGTAGCAATATTATTAGTCTAAGAAGGTAGGTTTCTGAGCTATATATTATTAGGGAAAATGAGCATTGTTACACTTGGAACACAAATATTCCTACCGCCATTTTTCCTCTGGTTTTGGAAGACCCATGACTACTATCTGCACTAGTTTTCTGCAATTTCAAAAGTTAAAATTGTAAGGTAATGTTTTCAAGGAGAAAAGAACAATGGTTGGAACCAAAAGCAATTCCAACAGTGTCTCATGAAGTTCTGCTGTAGCACCTGAGCCCTACACAGCAAACATACCTGTTCTTTGAATCTATGGAACTGCTGCTCTCTCCAACAGATGCTGCAATCATTAAGTCACATGGTGATTTGCTACCAGTTTTATTGGCAAATCAGAAATTCATTAATGATAATATACAAGCAAGGTGGGTACCCAATGTTCTGCTGAGTGGAATAGTAGAAAAATACAGTGCTTCATTGCAAGACCTTGAGGCTGCCTGGGATGCACAGTAAAGAGAACTGCTTACACTCACTCCTGCACCACCTCTGCTGTGAAGCCAGAAAGCTTTGTGTACCTGTGCAGTGATCTGTTCAGGGATCTGGCAGAAAAATAAGGCAGCAAAATAAGCAGAAAAAAAAAATAAAAAATCCTTTCACCAGGTTAGCTTTAAGCCACAGCAGTTTTCTGCTGCGGTTCACTGCACCATTATTCCAGAGGTACCTTTGTACCCCCACAAAGGGGACAAAGGAGGATACTGCAGGGGTGGAATGAAGGAAGAAAGCAGCAATTGCTGAACCATGGTGTGGCTCTGAACAAAGGTCCACCAAAGCGCATTCTTAGCACAGAGACTAGACCCTTTTCTAAGTAACAAAGGCAAAAATTGCAGGTTTTGTTTTGTATGCAAGCTAGTCCTAATGTACTGTACTGAATCTTCAACTCCTGTTTTACTTCCTTTTGTCAAATAGAATAATTTTATAGCATTCTACTCAGCACATCTGGAGTTAAAGTTCCCTATTATTCCTTGGCTTAGGCAGATAGATACTTAATCACATAAACGATCATAATTACCTGAAAGAGATGATGTCAAAGTTACAAGTATATAGCCTTGCCATAAGCATAGCCAAATCATTGGCTTCTGACCCGCTGTTGGTTAGATAAACCACCTACAGGAGAATGCTTAGGATCAGTACAGTGAACAACCACCACGTTGCTCAGCATCAGGCTATGTCATTTATTAACATCATGAGCTATAACCTATCACTACCACAAGATTACTTCACTGCAATAAGCCGTGTTGCCTGTACACTACAGGTGAGAAGTAAGGTTAAGCTTCAAGCTGATTTACACAGAAAGAGTAAAAAAACAAATCTTCAAGAGTTGGGAGTCTTCAGGTTTTCCTAAAATGGAACAGTAATTCAAAGAAAAAAGAAAGTGTCTGGGTTAAACTGAACATGCCTGACTGAACAGAAATAACCCTCACAGAGGTAAAAAGTGCTGCAACAGTGTACCTGCATATTAGTTACTAGGAGGGACTTACACAGACATAACCATGGAATAGAAAACATATGCAGTTGCCTTACTGGGAACAAAGGGTAAATCCTATTTATGAGTTCTGAGATCTGAAAACAGCTCAGACTCTATTGTCCCATTTTAAAGTAAATTTTCAGAACTGGTTGAGATTTTCCACTGCTTAAACTATTCAGATACTTTACACTTTTGTTTTGTATTGTTTTGTTTTTGTTACTCTTCTTCCATTCCTAAGATTGCAGTAACTTCATACTCTTCTGCTAACCCAAGTTCATTTTATCACCAGTTTATTTTATCTGAAAAAAAGCCAGTAATTTTCTTACTCTTTCTGAGCGTATGAAACATGACATTTATGTGGTTTACTTATTTAAATGTCAGTAAAGCTCACTACACAAAGTACTGTCAAATACTTTTCACTGTGAATTTTTATGAATCAAACAAATTAAGCCTGACTACATGAAAGACCACATGAAAGATAACATCTTAGTTCCTTCAGTAACTTTTAAGCTTGGCAATGCCCTTTCACATTAACAACTTGATGGAGAGAACAAACAGAACAGGATCTTGGGATATTATGCTTGTCTACATTAGGTCTCAAGAAAAGGCTTTGAGGGTCATCATGCTCTCTGACAGTCTGTAGTCACCATACAGATTTTCAGATTTTCTCTTCACAGACACTGTGGCTCTCACTTATTTAATATATATTTTTACATTAAATGTTTCTTACAGACATCCCCTTCACCAGCCCCTGGTCCTATAAGGAGCAAAGTACCTTAAGTGGATCTGGAAAAAGAGAAGTTAACTTTTCAGCATACTCCTGGATTGATGGGTGCATGTAGATACTAGAGATATGCCAGAGGCGAGCAAGCTGTTTCTGGGTAGCCATAGTTACCTTCCTGTATGTAGCACAAAAAGAGACAAAGGGATTCAATTCTATGCACGTGCACTCATACATGCGCATACCCATCTGTTATTAATCCTGAAAATTCAGACGCTGTGCCATTTGCCAGATCAATGAGCAAGTAGACAGAATCAATCCTTCAAAATGCAGAGGAAATTGACCTCAATATAAATCATACATGACAATACAGTGAACTATAATCTGGTTTTAGGCTCATAATGCCACAGATTAACAAAGAACAAAACCAAAGTAAGTATCTCTTCCTGTATTTTATAGCATCAATCAAATAGTAACATACTTACGGGTGACAGTGACCAACACCAACAGTGACAATTCCAGCAAACAGATCAAGGTATCTTCGTCCTTCATAATCAAATAACCACTGCATGTGTCCTTGATGCAGCAACAACGGCTTCTTGTAAAATGTTCGCAATGAAGGAGAAATATTTTGTTCACGAATCTTTCGCATGCGTTCATATGAATGGGACTGAGCGGAATAAAAAAAGTCAGTATCCATTTATGCTTTCTAAAGATCCAGACTAATGGAGCTGTAGTGAATCACATAGATTACACGGCTGTCTAAAGCAGTTGTTCACAGAACTAAGACTTTTAGCAAATTCTGGCATGTAGAAAGTTCTACAAGCCCCTGAAACTGTTTCTGAAGTAAGACTTCTGTTCTGCACTTCCCTCTTCCTTAGCTTTTCAAATCAACAGTGTAGCCAACCTGTTACAGAACTGCCACACAGGTACATCTATAGGTTACATCCTGATTGGAATGGAATTAGTTTTTGTCCAAACTCCCAAATTTTATAATGATATTTAATGAACTATTTATAGCAGATAAGCCTATCAGTCCAATCTAGTAATGCAGTCTTACTTAAATACAGTGTAGTATGCATGACTTACTTTGTATTTTTCAGGTACAAAATCACAAGGAGGCATTTTTGCTTTTGTGGAGACAGAGCTTTTCCATTTCTGCTGCCCAAAGACAACTACAAAATAATAAGAGAATTATCAAACGCTTGTCAAAGTGAACATCTGAAAAAGTTTCTCAATAAGCTTATTCACACACAAGCTACAATCAAAGCAAGTTTTGTGTGTTTTGGTGAGATTTTTTTTTTCTTGTGGGAAAAGAAAGCAAAATATACGTAGATTTTGAACACCCAAAAGCACTTTCCTCTTATCCACTAAAATCCAGTTCTCATTTTCACATGAACTTTTATTTTGACAGGGGCTTTCTAATACAAATTCTTATCTGTGAGCAGCAAGAGCAGGAATCCTCTCCAAGCGTGTGAGCCAGGAGCCCAGGGTGACCGAAGCCCTGGTGGTACTCTTGGGGACCAGGGTACAGTCCCAACAGACCTGAACAAAGCACGGTCCACTGAGATTGACCACCTAAGCAGAGGAGATGAATCACATCCAGGGTCCACCCAGGGTGTCCAGTCAGGAGCAGCAGCAGATGGGGCCAGAAACAGGGCTGGAGACAACGTAAGTCCAAGGTCCATTCTAGAGACAAGGCCAGAGGCTACCTGCTGGCAGGGCTGAAGCAGGGACTGAAGGGTCAGGGCTGAGCTTAAAAAGGGCTCCTGAGCAGTGGGCACAGGCTCTGCGTCATGGCCATTACAGCTCTCCCTGACATCTTCTGTCCTTTTTCCAAATACCTGAAAACTTCACACTGTTCCACCTTCCATTTAACTGGAAGTGCAATTAATCAGGTATCAGAAAAAGTTAGCAAGTAAAATCACAGAATGGATTAGGTTGGAAGGGACCTTAGGGATCATTCTATGATTCCATGCTTTGGTAAAATACATACTCTCTGCATTCCTAACATTATCTGCACAGAACTACACATTTAAACGTCTAAGGTTTCAAACAATTTCTAAAACCCGTTAAAATGTAAATGAATGAAGAATAAAGTTTCCTGAAGTAAATTACATATGCTGTTACTTCCCTTACAACCATCTACAGCACTAACGAATTATCCATCTACATGAGTAGAGTCTCAAAAGCATTAAAGAAAGGCTGTAAGTTAGCGCAGTTCCGCCTTTGGGTCTCTTTCAAAGAGAACCGCAGCTAAAACAAAAGCGCTTCTTTCCCCAACCCCGTACAAACACAGAGCTTCAACCAAATCCCCTGCGACAGCGGGCTTCAGGGCACTCCCGCTGTCCGCCGCCGTCCCGTCCAACCGACCAGCCTAGGCCTGCGGGACTTTGGGCTCTACGAGAGGATGGATTCCTGCTCTCGCAGCTCCCAGGTAAGAACGCGGGCTCCGTGCGCAGCTGACCCCGGCCGAACAAGCCCCTGACGATGGGTCCCAGCGCTTCAGCCCCTCGCAGCCCCTCCCCTCCGACCCCGTCGCTTACCGCTGCCGAGCCCGCGGCTGCTCCCCCTCAGCGGCAGCGCGCAGCCCACCGCCATGTCTGCGGGTAACGGGACGGTGCCGGGCGGAGCTCCGCGGCCCTGCCCCTCACTCCGCTGTCCCGGGGGCCTCTCCGCACGTGCCGCCGGGCCCGTCCATTCCTGCGGCGTCACGGGCGGACGGCGTTGAGTGCGGGCGGCGTTGGGAGTCATTGTCCTGCTTCGTTGTCAGACGGGTCTGTCCCGTTCCTCATCGTCGTTTTCTGGCAAAATTTGAATGTGCGGCACGGGAAATAGCGGTTAGAATAACAGAATCGACTAGGATGAGAAAGACTTTTAAGATCAAGTCCAACCATTACCTCAGGGCTGCCAAGTCCACCACTAAACTGAGTCTCTTTTAAGGGCCTCATCTACATGGTTTGTGAGCAAGTATGGTGATTCTGCCGTTGCCCTGGAAAGCCTGTTCTAATGGCTGACCGCCCTTTTGGTCACCTGTGTCCCCTGGTGTAGCTTGAGGCTGCTGTCTCTTGTCCTGTAACTTGTTACCTGGGAGAAGAGACTGACCCCTACCTCACTACAACCTCCTGTCAGGCACTTGTAGAGAGCAGTAAGATCCCCCCTGAGCCTTCTCTTCTCCAGATTAAACCTCCTAGTTGCCTCAGCCATTCCCCATCAAACTTGTGCTTCAGACCCTTCACCAGCGCTGTTACCCTTCCCTGGCCCTGCTCCAGCACCTCAATGTCTCTCCTGTAGTGAGGGGCCCAGAACCAAACACAGGATTTGAGCTGCAGCCTCATCAGTGCCCAGTACAGCGGGATGATCACTGCCCTGGCTCTGCCGCCACGTTGTTGCTGGTACAGGCCAGGATGCTGTTGGCTGCATTGGCTGCCTGGGCACAAGCTGCTCATGTTCAGATCCGAGTCAGCACCCCCAGGTCCTTTTCCATGAGCACCTTTCCAGCCACTCTTCCCCAAGCCTGGATCGTTGCATGGGGTTGATGTGAGTCAACTGTAGGACCTGGTGCTTTGCCTTGTTGAACCTCTTTTCACTGGCCACAGCCCATGGACCCAGCCTGTCCAGATCCTTCTGCAGAGCCTCCTACCCTCCAGGAGATCAGCACTCCCACCCAACGTGGTGTCATCTGCAAATTTACTGACGGTGCACTCGATACTCTCATTCAGATCAATAAGATATTAAACATATGGCCCTCATACTGAGCCCTGAGGGTCACCACTAGTGACGAGTCGCCAACTAAATGTGACACCATTCACTGCCACTCTTTGGGCTCTGCCATTCAGCCAGTTTTGAACCCAGTGAAGAATACACCTATCCAGGCCATGAGCAGCCAGTTTCTCCAGAGAATGCTGTAGGAAGACACTGTGTTGTGAGGGAATGTCATCTTCATGAACAGTGATGGCTGTGGGAGCATAGGCCAGCCCCATGCAGCAGCAGCAGCACTTGAGGGGGATCCCAAGGCTAAGCATGGCAGATTATGTTTAGCCCCAGCAACAATGTGCTTGAGGCAGAGAGGCAATAAAAATCAGGTGAAAAACCTGGAGAAGGTGTGATCTTTCAACACAGATGGGTGGATGAGGAGAGATGTTGTGAGAGGGATAATTGATGACCTGTGTCTTCCCTGTTTTTTTCTGTTTGTTTGTTTTTTGGTTCAGCAAAGAGTATTAGCACAACCTCCTACCAGAATGGGAAGAGTGCAAAGCTTGCTGTTGCCTTCCACCTTAACATTCCAGTTCCTCCTACTACTAAAAGAAATGAGATTTGTGATGGCATTCTCTAGGATGGTAATCGGGATGCATTGTATTTAGACACAATTACAGGTGAAAGATACTTCACAAGGATTTTGGTGATCATAGGCAGAGTGCTGATGCCACCCACCCTGAGGGGCAGCTTCAGTTTTGCAAGAAAATTGCCAATTCTTGCTACAGTGGGTGAGAGATTTGTGCTTTATACTAACCAGGGGTGTGCTTACATACCTTAGGACTCCCAGATGCTCAACCTTTTGCAATCAAACTTTACTCTTGCTACCTTCAATTTCAGTTATAAAGATAATTTCCATCAACACAAAGAGCCATGAAGAAGCATGAGTAAAAAAAATTGCGACCTGGTGCATGAGCTGTCTGTTCAGTTTTCTGGTTCAACTGCTTGGTGCTTTCAAAAGTGGGTTAAATGCTTTGATCACAGAACCATCCAACGCAGAACAGTGGGAGCCCATCCTACGGACTGTACTGGGTGTCTGGCCTTCCCTTTGTCTTTTTATATATTATGTACTGGAATTTCATGAAGGAAACTAGAATTTGTGAATTTTATTCAAGAACTTTTATTAAATCAAAATGCAAACACCATTGCAAAGAGATTCTACGATGTCAAAGATTGGAAAGTCCATCAGAAAGCTACAGACGTCAGAACAATATTGATCTTACAAGTGAAATTGCTAACAGGTTTTATTTAAGCCAGCATTTTCAATATTAAGAACTTAAAAAAAAATGTGTTTTAAAGCATTTTCCTGTAGATACACTTAGAAACAATGAAGAATTCCTGAGCAACTATGTTTATACCAGTATTGTGCAAACAATGAACACACTGCATATGAAATCTACTTTCTATAATTTTTTAAATTTTAGAAATTTACAAAACATTGGATATGGATTATAGAATCTTTGTGCTTCAAGTCATCCTGTTGCTACAGTGATGACACCTACGATACCTTGCTCCAGGCTGCATACAAATTTGGAAATTACAATGTAAAAAATGCCTAGCTTGTATCACAAGGCTAGCAATGAAATGGTTTGTGCAAATGGAAACAAGTTTGCTTCAAAATACTGGATCATCTCTTTCTCTGATGGGAGATGCATGTTATTCAGAACATGCAATTTATTTTATAAATATATTTCTTTGAGGGACCTGCTGGCACAGTTAAGGCAAGGAAGTTCTAGAGACTTTGACCTGCACTTAACTGCATAGCAGAAATTTGAACAAATACAATTAGTGACTGCTGACACATTTTTTTCTTGCCAGTACTTTTTCAGACCACCACCCTCAGTATTGCTGTATTTTACGCAATGACTAAAAAAATCTATGAAGCACAATATAAAGATTTCAGAATCCCAGGCAGTGCTGAGTATCTCTGAGCCAGACAATGCATATATGGAATTGAAGGTTGTGCTATTCTAGATGTTTTTGTAGTCAGAATAAAAAAATCAGATTAAATAAAAAAACCAAGATTAAAAATAAACAACACTAAAGCAGCCCAGGAATGCTTTCTGAGTATAGCTGAGCAGTAGGTTCCTCTTCCTTTTGGAATGAAGGACACAGGGTTGAGAATGAAGAGTAATCTACAGCATTACGAGTATTAAAAAATGTGATATGACATCATTATACTTCTGCATGTATTCTGCATGTAGAAAAATCAGCCTGTTCCTAGATGTGTATAATTTTCAGTTCTTCTGAAGGGATATTTTCTACAAGTTACTCCTACAAAGATTTCCAGGACCCTGTTAAAATCTACTCAGTGCTATATGTCTAAAATTGACCACTGCAGTCTTTGTAGGAATTAAAGTTAAATCTTTCCATTTTCACTGATGTCAAAACAAGGTGAAGGTATTCAGCAGCTCACAAAACCAGACCGAAAAGCAGCATTGTCCAAAAAAAAAAAAAAAAAACAAAAAAAACAAACAAAAAAAAAACAAGCAGCATCACAAAGTAGAACAGGACATTAAACCTTCCAAAAATACAAGAATTTTTAACATACCAGCACTGCAAGAGGCCACACAGCTAAATCAGGCTTTTTTTTTCTCAATAACTTTTGACAGATATAGTAGTTTGTCTTAAAAACTTTGCTTAAATGGAAAAGATATATTTTAAGCCTTGCTTGGCAATTTTCCATATTTATCACCAAGACAGGGACTTTCTGATTAAGCAAACTATTTAACAGACACATTGTCACAGGTGCAAACTACGCAATGCCCAGAAGTGCCAAGAGACCAGTTAGTACTATGCTCAAAGGCCTTTTTCTCTTGGAGCTTTTAGGTCATTACATTATCTTTAATAAATAAAAAGTAGAAGAATGCTTAAGAATGATAGACATATGTGAGAGACAATGTAAATGGATAAATACTCCTCATCCATAGTTCTGATGAAAAACTGTAGGTTGTTTTTAAAAACAGTGTGGTACACTTTATTTCTCTGGATTTTTCCCGTAGGAATGTAGAAAAAACAGATCAGGTAAGGGGTCTAACTCTTCAAGTATTCTGTTTGCCTGGGACCAGTGTTAGCTATATGGAAGAAAATCCTGTAACTGATAGAAAGTGAATGACCACCTCCCAGGTATAGGACTTTTTCTGCTACTGTACAGTAGCTGATATATAGTAGCCAATCTCAGCGTTTTATCAACTTTTTTGCATTTGATGAGGCTACACAATTTTTATGGGCTGTCTCAGGTAGCTGTGCATATTCCCAGTCTTGATATATAAGTATTTTCTTCTTTTTCCTTGCAGTCTCAGTTATCACTTCTCTCTGTTCTACAGGTTCTTGTATTTTCTTATCTACTCTCCATTTGATTCTTTTGCTTACATTTATCCTTCTCCCTCCTTCTCAGCTGTACTCAAGATGCACGTCTGCTCCCTCTGATTTCTTTAATTATCTACCTATGTACAATTCTATAGGGACCACACTCATCTTCCATTCTGCTACATGCAGCAGCAGTTGCATCCCCCTTCCCATTTAGTGGTGAACTTGGTAGTGCTACATTTACAGTTGGACTCTATGACCTTAAAGGTCTTTTCCAACCTGAATTGTTCTATGATACTGTGAGCTTTAAGCTCTTTCTATCCCCATATATAATGTATTTCTATATTCCATTTGTCTTTAATCTCCTGCTTAACATATATAGGAAAGATGAAAAAATGCCCTTATTTGTTTCAAAATGGTTTTTAAGGCAGTACCACACGATTGTTCCTATTCATGTAATTTAGTCCCATCTTTCCACACCCATGGGAAATGAAGTCTGAATTTAGTGAGGGTATGAGATAGTTGAGAGCAATGCTAATCTCCATTTTCACTCATGTAGGGTCATAGTTTTGAAGATTTTCTCAGGAACTCAGCAGAAAGCAGGTCTTTCTAAATAGCAAGTACTGATAAACGCTTAGTTGCATTGCTCAGATCCAGAATGAGAGCATCACTGACAACACAGCTTATTCAGTCCCAGTGAGCTGGGCACACAGGCAGTATGTCCCAGGAAAGGGACTGATGGTTGGCTGACAAGCTGGTCAGTATGCCCTTCCCTGCAAATGTCTCTTATTTTTTCATATTAAAACAATTCAATTTTGCTGCACATCTCGAGTATCCCATCCTAGTACTACCAGTGCAACATAAGTAATGATTCCATGACAAGCTGTCAGTAAACAAAAATAATTTGAACATTACAAATGAGATTTTTGATTCACAATTTGACACACAAAGTAAAATGTTTTTGTCTGCCTTTTCAAAGGGAGCAAAAAAAAAAAAAAAGTGAGGTAGCAATTCTTTGAGAATATGATGCCCGATCTCTTGACACTTTTTCATAACATTTGCCTTTATGGCTTTATAGAAGATGTCTAATATCTATCAACTGGTTTAAATGACTTTGGTTTCCTTGCACAACACCTTGATATCGTTTACAGTTAATTTACAGGCTTCATGATATGAACCCCATATATGCAATGCTTCAGAGATCACACACAAAAAAATAAATCTGCTTATTAATTTTGAACAGCTGCTGTTACTGCACTTTAAATACTTAAATGACATTTAAAGCAACTGTATATTTTCTAGCCATTTAAACATAGACACATAAATAGATATACTACAGAATTCACTGCTTTAACATAAATCAATTATCATTACATATTTGGTTTACACTTTGTTTCCAAACACATATATCGTCTTACTACAATTATATAAGGTCAGTTTACTACACTTTTGTAGTTACATTGTATCACCATAACCACTCTTCAAGCTGCATTTTACGTGACAGTGAGTTTTGTGAGCACATCCCACTTCAGTAAGTTGTATTTCTTTAGAAGTCATGAATACTATGAAATACTAGAATTGTACATCAAATACATCTGCTAGAGAAAAAAGTCTAATAGAAAAGTTAAGAACTCGTATTTGTCAATAGTGAAGAAAAACTGTTAATAAAATTAGTCCAAATCCAAAGGAAAGGTTACTAATTAAAAAATATGTCTTTGTTTTATGGATTTTATAAGATTAATTACTTTGAAGAGCCTTTATATGTTCTTTTAGGGCTTTTATACTGCTAAGAAGTACTTCACACTCGAAGTGATGCATGTATAAATTTGACATTGAAAACACCATTCAAACTTTTCACAGAATTAATCCAAATGAGAAATTTGACTAATGGTGCAAGAGCTGGATGGCTAATCCCTGTTTCTGGGGCAAATTCGGTTGTATGCTTCATCCCTCTCTTTGTCAAAAGAGGTGTCAAGAGCATGTTATCCCCCATTGGTGCACCATAATTTTACAACAGTTGCCTCTCTACAACTGCTGCAAAATCTCATGTAAACTGTTTCCTAATATTGAGCTTAAAGAGCTGCAAGCAAAAATCTTGTTGCAAACAGAAAGAAGTATTTTAACATCCAGAGGCCCATGCACTCAGCTGAAGATTATTCTGATTTTACAGAACACTAGTTTATTCTCTTCTTAATGTACTTTCAGATGTTAAAGGCCACTTTCAGAAGATGTTGCTCCCACCTTGAGATTAACAAGGTGTTTTGGAAAATAAAAGCAAATCCAATGGAAAAAGAATCAACCTGTACATTTGTTCAGCTTAAACAAATATATTTATGAAAATTGTGTTCAAATTGTATTTAGCTAGGAAACCCCTAAAAAAGTTTAGCTACTCAGAGCAATGAGCACCTTTTTCACTCTGGCTGAATTTCCCTTTTCACAGAAAGTCATGATGATTTGGCATATTGAGACATTCATCAACAAACGTGTGAGAGAATCTGCACCTCACAATGTAATCTGGGCTACAGCTATTTTGCAGCTTCAGTACCAATTTATGGCAAAGCATAATAACTCTTCTGTTCAGTTTTTCTTATGTGTGGATTGCTGGAGGTACACATATAGATTCCTACGGTTAGGCAGGACAAATCATACACTTAAAACCTGCTAAAAGTTGTGTCTCTGTGCCTCAGATCCAAAGTAACTGATAAGAGAGCAACGGCCTACTGCTGACACCTTATACCATGCTTTCTTTGGTTTAAAACAGTCATCTGTGTTTTCCTATAAGAAATCCACTACATAAGGAAGATCTTCTGTCTACAGTTTGATAAGATTCTATTGCCTCTATGCACCACAGAAGGGCTGTAGCAGCATGCCTTCATGTGTGGCATCAGGTGTAGAAAACAGCTTGGGTCAGATACGGCTAGCTGTGTAAAGAATGGGAGTGTGTCTGATCTGGATCAGCTCTGTCCAATTCAGTCAGAAAAGTGAAGTGTTAGTGGAGCACTGTCAGAAAGAGTATATTACCAGCTTACATACAACTGCAGACTAATTCCTGCCCTGCAGAATACAAAACATTCCAGTTTTGACTGATAAACTGGTAGTTTTTTGCAGTACTTTTAGTATTTCTAGAGAACTTGTAAGATATACTACAAACAGCATATCTACAGTAAAATTGTTCTGTTAACTACAATTAAACAAAATGTTATGTTTATATGCTCTCTGGAATAGCCACTTCATGTGTTGAAGTGTTAAATAAGTGCCTGAATTAAGAATTTAGCATACCTCCAAACACATTGAGGAGAGCATCTAGTCTGCTCTGGTCAACCTCTGGAAGTGGGCAGGATCTTGGCTGTATGGTGGACACGGGCTCTAAATTTGCTGTCTGAAGTAAAAGTTTCAGTGTACACTGACACTGTGTGTTAACAGACACACAGATAATTAGTTAAATTCTAAAGTCCTGGCAATGCAAGGGCTAGATAGCGCAAGCAATCTGTGCTTGAGCAGTTCCTTGGCATAAAGGTAAAAGGTAAAAGAATATGATTTGCCAAATTAGATGTGGCCTTCTGATACCTTCAAAATCTGAAAGTCTCTTTGGCCTGGCTCTGCAGCACGTTACCTGATACTGCAGGAAGGCTGGCTCAGTGCATAAAGTCATGAAAAGCTGAAGAAATGTAAAGCTGTTCAGGAAGGATAAGAACAGAAAAGAGTTCAACTACAGTAAATACACTTTCTTGCCCATATACAGTACAATTTCCCTTACCTCATGTTTCCAATTTCCCCTGAAGCTAGTGATACTGGCTAAATACTTGGCCCAGTTTTAATTAGTCATCACTTGGTCATACTTTCCTGGAGTAAATTAAACTTTTGTTTCAAGAAAGAAGGACCACAGTAAGTTCAGAACCATTCCAGTATCACTTTGATTTTGCCTCAGTTACACAGATATGAGGAATCCTCACTGTTCTCATTGCTGCTCTGGGGACATGTGTCCAGCCTTTCTTTCCTCATTCTCACCACTATTTCAGCAGAGTTCTGACTCAGACTTTATGCCTCATATCTTTGACTTTGTAGGCTAGATTCCAAATTACTTTTTGTAAGTTCATAATGAAAAATCTGACTTCAAACTTTCCTTCCAAGTAAAGAAAGATATGCAATACCTAAGGATCACCATTCAACTCCTGATTGGCATTGGAGTACAAATTCAGAGGGAAAGAAGCTTTGCTCTCAAATATAGATTCTATTTTAATTTTATAATTACAGGTGATAAAAAATATTTGAAAGAAATAATTTTCAATTCAAATAGTAATACATTTGCAATATAGTAGAAATATAGTTACAATGATTTAATATTTTTAATTAGTAGAAAGTTTAATTTTATGCTTTATATAGAAATTATAGCTTTAGTTGTTACTGCTGTCTCAGCAGAAGGAAACAGAAAAGTTCCTAAGTAGTTAAATAGCATTGGGAAATTAAAAAATATTTTATTTTGGCTTTTTTTATTTAATGGCAATATAAAAATAGCCTTTAAAAATACATTGTTAAACATATGGGCTTTTACTAGAGTAGAATTGTGTATTATATACAGTAAGGCGTATAATATTGTCCTGCTATTTTTTTCATGATTGGTTTGATTGGACTAGGATATAAATGGGATGCAAATTTTCTGTCACATTGAACCAAAGCAAAAAAATATATTAAGAAGAATTTGTTATTTTACCATAATTTGTTGAATACATTCTCTTTTATGTATGATTTGTCATATGTAAGAGCTCCTTTCTATTTAAGGATTGAGAAAAATGTAAAGAAAACTTTATCTAGTGACAGCATGCATTCAGAAGAAGATACTATTTAACTGACTGAGGAACTGCTCGGATCACTATGGTGTACTGACTGATCTGTAATGATTTGCATCTTTGTTGAATCTGCAGTATTCCCTCAGATTTAATCAGTTAATAGAAAATCTGGAGAGCTGAATAATTAGTTTACAATGTGTTTTTCATAGCAGATTATATCCATTTCCTCATTTCTGTGTGTCAGAAACGTGTGAATGATCCAAGGTTCACTTCCATGGTTATTACCTCAAACCACACTTTAGTTTCTTTTCTGTGTAATACACATAGGAGGCTAGACTTTTTCAAGGAATTCTTTGCTATGTGGCTTTGTTTTACTGTACATACATACTGTGTATGTACTGTACAAACTACTAGTTATTTAAAGGGAGGCATAAAGGAAGATGGGTCCATGTAGTCTGATCCATTGTCCTCTCTATTCATCTCACTTGGGGCTGTGGCAATGTAGCTCGTATCTGTTTCAGCTTCACTTTGCTGGACATTCTGAGGTGTTTCCACTGCAGGTTCTTGAGGCACAGACGTTTGCTGGTTGTGTGCGTCTGGCATTAGTACTAGAATATTATGGTCCACTACTGTAGAGACCTTGGTATATTCCTTGCTGGTTCCTGGAACAGTGTATTTTTCATTTTGTCCACTATTTTCTTTACATTTCAGTAATACTGCTGGGTCCATATCTTGTTTGACTTTGTGAACTTCTACATAATCCATTAGTCTAGGATTCAAAAAAGGTGACTGGTCATTGGGTCTGTTTTGTTTGATCTGCACTGTGGTTTGGTCAGTTTTGGAATGGAAATTCTCCATCTCTCCTCGATTTTCCAAGTTGTCATGGAGAGTTTCAGTGATAGGATATTGTGGCTGATGATTTTCTTCATTTCCCACCAAAACTGGTGCAATGTTCATATTTGTGGCACTCAGGGTTATTGTATGTGCATCTACTGTACTGTGGTAGGCAAACATAGGAGGCTGATTATTAGGTAACTGAGCTGGAGGCCATGTGGATGATCTTGGATTCTCATTGTTAACAGGGATTATTCTCTGTTCTGAGGCTAGACACAGAATTTCACAGCTTCCTTTTCCTCTGTTTTCTTGAACATTTCTTACACCTTGTGTTTGAAGTGTTGATGGAAGGGCACGGGCGCGAGACCCTTTGCATTTCTCAGAAAGCAAAGAAGGGCTATCACAGCTCCCTCGTCCTGAGTCGCTGTCTGTTTCCTTGGGGGTTATTTTTGTGTTTTTATTGGCATGACCATGGTCCCGGCTTGGCATAAGTTGCTGTTCCTCACTGTCCTCTACCTCCAGATATTCTACCAGTAGCTCCTCACAGTCTGATGTTGGAGGGAAACCGTGACAACCAAGAGCACTCAATAATTCTTCAGATTTTCCTCTCTAAGGGCATAACAAGATACATTTTTTCACTGTTAACCCTAGGATTTGTCTGACTAGAACAATTGTGAACAGTCTACATATTTAATATACAAAGACTTCAATAGGTGTATCACTAGACCTATACTGGAGTTTGTATTGCTGCAGAAAATAGTGGAAGAACAGAAAATTTCTTGGGTTCCCTCAGTGGGGAGGCACGGTCCCAGAAATCATGTTTCTAAAACGGAAGGACTTGGGATCTTCTGGGAGGTACAGTTCTCATGGGTTTAACAAGAAGAAAATGGAGGAGAATGACAGAGCAGCTATGTCCTGTCTCCTCAGCACCGCAAGAGACTCTGGAGACTAACTTCCATAAGAACTGCTAGGAAGATCACACAGGTATTAGCTCTTGTGGTGTCCCAAGGAAAGCCACAAACTGTTCTTAAATATCCTCCTACTACTAGTGCAAGGCAAGACTGTCTCACACATACCCTCTACACAACCAATCTGAAAATGTTGTTTATTTTTAACATTGATCAAATCAACTGAAGCTGTTTTATACTTTACTATGGCAATTGTGCTTGCAAACACATACTTTAGGAAAGTAATGGTGAATTCTTTTGTTGCTGTCAGTGATACTCACCTGTAACAGATGTTTATCTATGCCTGTTATCTTTGGTCCTGGAACTGGAGGTAGTATAAAGGCTACCATTCTAAAAAGACAGAACAAACACACAAGGTGTAAGTATGGGCTCTATCTCTCTTTGTTCTCCTATTCATTCTTTTTATGTTTGACATTTTAAACACTTCTCCTTTATCTGATATCTCCCTGTTGGACCTCCATTTCCTGTCCACTTCTCAAGCCAGGTAACCTAGAGATGCAGTTACAGTTCACAACTTATGCTTAGATGTATTTATAAGAAAAAGTACAAAAGTTATTCAACTGCAAAAGTAACACTGCTAATGTGTTTTTGCTGTCCTTTGTCCCTTAAGCTCCACTTCTCTAATGTCACTGTAGCTTCAAAACTGGCCAAGAAACAGGTATCTGGGGCACAGTTCAGGAGGACTAGTGGGCCTGGGTGTACATACTTGTCAACTCACTACTGATATATAGGATTTATGAATAATGTCTTCTGCTGGCTTTTCCATCAACGCTTCTATCTCTTCTACTCAGCCAGTAGTTTTGCAAGACTTGTAAATAAGTGATAATTTATGATATCTTTCTCTGATTTCAGAGCTGATTGAACTTAGTGTTCTACGAAATTATTTAAGAACTGGCAAACAGGTGAGCAGAAAGACCATATAACCTTGTTTCCTTTAGAAAACCAGGTCAAAACCAAAATGTGTGTCTTTTACAGAGGCAGGGATACTCCAAATTATATTTGCTGAATACTTACGTGGCTATCCAAGATGGTCAGATTTAATAGGAATATTTACCAACTGAGAATTTAGCCCGCTTTCCCATAAGAACAGAAATACCTCGTTATCAGCTGCAAATTTAAAGTCAAATACTTGTAACTTGTAGTTTATAAGAGAACACAAAACCTATACAAAATTGAATCAGATGTTAGACTGAATTTTTGAAAAGGCTGCTGAGATTTTCAACTCTATGCAATTGTGAAATTGGTGACTTACCTGTACCCTTTTAAAATCATTATCCAGCTCATGATCAAACATATAAGAGATGACAAGACACCAACGACGATCCACACAACCATATCTTTTACTCTATATTCTAAGAAACAAACAGAATTATTTAAAGATGCACATCTGCCGTATGCATAGTCAGCATGCAAAAAAAGTCTCAAATTACTTTTATTTTAAAAATTGGTCCAAAGTGCCAAATGTAGTATTGAATCTAGAGACCTTGACTAGTATAGGTGGATCTCAACAGTCATTGTAGTGTCTGATAATAAATATGCTTTTTATTAATAGCACTGTGCAGGAAACAAACTCTCTTGGAAAAATGGTACAAAAATATATGAAGAGGGAAATTTTGTCACAACCGGTTATAGCAGTTAGGTTCAAATCCAATTATTCCAATGCTGTAGTCATTTAATTATCAAATACATGTCATACAATTAATTAAATGGTGGGTTAAATCATCTAAGACTAGATCTTTTTAAGGATTTCTATGGTAACGTAACACTTTTTACATTTAGATGTTTATTTCAATTTCATTCCAGACAAAAAGTGATTAAAAGCTGTTACTGTCTGAAGGCAGTCACTCTTTGTTGTCTGTGTAGCAGTTTTAATGCAGTTACTGGTATTCTTTTAATTAAAAACTACTATGATGAGAACAAACGAGGCAATAAATAGAAAATACATTTTTTAAATAAGTAGAGGAATTGACTTAACTTCTTAACTCCAAAAGATAACAAAGGGGAAAGCTGATAGGGTAAGATGCAGGGACACTGAGAATTCAGTTACTTAGCAATGATCTTACCTGTCCTAGGCAAACTATGGGATGTCAATCTGCACAGGTGCCACAAACAGCTAACAGAGGTATTATGTGAACTTCCATGTAACAGCAATTACTGAAGGGATGCCTGGCCACTCACCAGTTGGGATCTGAATATACTTTTCTGGGCTCCATTCACTCCATGATCCATGGTGGTCTGGTTTGCAATGAATCTGTATAATGTATGTCTTCCCAGTATTTAAACTAAACATTTTATACTGTGTTTGCTGTCCAACAAAAACAGTCTGGAAATTAAATAAAAATCATAAAATGCATGTAAAATTGAGACATTTTTCTGTGAAAATCAGAGCTGGGTTTAAATCTTCCTAATGAAGTTGGGAATATAGAACAAACCAGCATAGCTTCCTAGTAATTGTCATGGAGGCATAGACTAATGGTATATTTATTTTATTTCTATAGTTCAGCTTTCTAACATAATTCAGTGGGAATGAGATCTGCTGCTGGTATAGTGCGCAAATCAAAGTACTACAAAAACACATCGTGAGAATAGGGCAAATAGGGAGGAACCCTGGTAAAGGTGGGAACTATAGTGGTAAGTGGCAGGGAACAGAAATGGGGAAGAAAATAAAAAGAGAAAAGAAGGAATGTGGAGTTGGTGGGACTGCACAGGGTGTTAAAAAGTGGGTCTTCAATGGCAAGGGGGCAGGAAGTTCAGTGGCAGGAAGGAGGAGATACAGAGATGTCTGGAAAGTACTGCAGCAGACAAGAAGGGGATGCAGCTAAATACAAATAGCTGTAGTATTTAGTTTGCTGCCCAGTTGTGTGAGTTGCACATCCTGGCAGTATACAATTATTATGTGGCCATGACAACCATCACCCAGTGGCTATTTGTACAAATTTATATAGAATCATAGAATAGTCAGGGTTGGAAAGAACCTTAAGATGATCTAGTTCCAACCCTCCTGCTATGGGCAGGGACACCTCCCACTAAACCATGTCACCCAAGGCTCTGTCCAGCCTGGCCTTGAACACTGCCAAGGATGGAGCATTCACAGCCTCCCTGGGCAACCTATTCCAGTGCCTCACCACCCTTACAGTAAAGAATTTCTTCCTTATACCCAATCTAAACTTCCCCTGTTTAAGTTTTATATGATTTTACATAATGTCAGTGAGCTTTCTGTTACCCAAGAAGTACTTGTAGGTAAGACCAAGTTATCAAAAAGAATCCTGGCTAAATGAGAACAAACAATTTAAACGGTAATGCCAATATGCTTAATATATAACGGCCGCAATTGAAAATAAATATTTTGTCACCTGCAATCACGCAACAGCATCTGAGATACCAGTCATCTCAGTAGGTAATTGCAGATTACACACAAGCACTTTTGAAAAATGATGAACTATTCACTGTGCCTGCTTCATTACATTCAGGTGTGTGACCTGGCTGACAAAATCTAATTGACCAGAAAACACCATCTAGTGAAAACTTGCAACATCCTCACCTCCCATTCCTCTCCTTCTTGAAGCTTTAGTCGTAACTCATATTCAAGGGTAAGCCATCCAGATCTGACATCAGCCAGTGGGGGTGGAGACCATGTCAAGATTAGATATGGTTTTCTATTTACTGACTTTTTTAATTCCAAAGTTATATTCACAGGAGGATCTGGCTGTACTGTTAAAATAAAAGAACTGCCAGTAAGAGTCTAAATTATTTATTTCCTTGAATAGTAGGAATATAAAATGGTCTGAGTGGTGAGTTACCACTTCTGTTGTACCTAGTCATTTAGAAATGTGCTGGAATACACAGATCAAGAGCTTCCTGATAAAGTAAGCATGGATTTATAAATATAAATTAAAACCTGAAAACAGTGCATATGTTGAGTCCATGTTGAGATTTGCTTTAATCATTTATCACCAGAAATAATTTTTTCTTACATTGCATTTATTGTTGCTTTTCCGCACTGTGTTTCAAAGTTAACCTCTTCAGTGGTGTGTTATGAACCCTGTGTTTTCCCATAATAGCATCAAAGTTGGCATATATATTCAGGAATGCTGAAAGCACAGATGTAGCTGATGAAACCTGTACCCCACCCCTCTTTTACATTCAGAAAACACAACAACATGATGCCTATATGCATATGTCAGGATATTTAAATGTAAAACCAGTAATATTGAACCCTGTCTATATTTCAAAAATAATCCAAAATGGAATTCAGGTTTCTGCTACAGTCAGGCTTGCATATTCCTCAGTTCAGAGGTAAAGCTTTTGCATATTGTGCATGTATTTTATCACTCATACAAAGCTTCATGAAGTAATCAGGACATAGAGGTAAAATATAAAGCCTTTTCTCTAGCTGCCAGACTCTTGGCAGGCAGATCCTTGATAACAAAATCTTTATTGATGATAATGTTCCATTCCCTTAGAAAAATACCTAAATGCTTGTCCACAGTCACTCTGTGGTAAAAGTCTCAGAAAAGAGATTATCAGTACACTGCTATAAAAAACTCTAATTCAGGTTCTCTTGGGTCTGGAAACTACTTTTAGGCATATCAAATGTAAGTGTTATTAGTTAAAAGCTCAATTTGGTTTCAGTTGCTGGTAGAGTAGAAAAAGATTTTAGCTGGATGATGTTTCTTAAGGCTTGACTGAAAGATATATGGAAAAACAATAAATTGTTATCTGGATACATTTTTAAAGCTTTTAGAATTTTTAGGTTTCCTTTAAAAATAAAACAGTAAAGGGATGAATATTAATTCATTATTACACCATACTTTGTGGGGTGTGAGTGGTTGTTAAGTGTTTCTTTTGTGGCTTTGTTGTTGTTTATAGTTTGTTTGGGTGGAATATTGTTGGTCTTTGTCTATTCTGTTTTGCTGGTGGCTGATCCTTTTTCTCAGTAAGCAAGACAAGATCTTATTTGTTCTTACAAGTTTTTAACTTGGATATAATACTATATATGAGAAAAGCTGGAATTAAAATTCTTGAATTAAAACACATACTCATGAATTATTTGGTTCCACAGAAATGCTTTTTATCTGTTACCTATGTAAGTCACATCCACATAATGAGGATCAGAGACGTTACTTCCCATTTCATTTGTTGCTTTCACAGTAATATTGTATATGGTCCAGAAAGAGGTGTGCTTTCTATCAAAGTAACATGAATTGGGGCCTGCAGTTCTGTAGTCTGGACATTCATAAACTTGTTCTTCTCTGGAATGAAAGAATCACAGTGATTAGACTGTGTGATTACAGAGACTGTAACACCTGATTGATTACTAGTAGTTCAGCATTATTTAGGGCTAGATCAGGTTTTTCATGCCTGGAAATGAAAAAAAATTGGAAAACTGTTTTAAGACTAAAGAATCCTTGACAATTCCAGAGACTGTAATAAGCATTTCCCCTAAAAAATAAAGACTACAAAACTTGAAGTATTTAGGCTGTTACAGATGCAGCGGTGGGCTAAAAGAGTGCAGCTCTTACTTTTCTGAATGCCACTACCCTTTGCATAGACCTTACAGGTTTCAGACAGCCAGCAGAAGTGATGGTGAAGTCTTCTAACCCACCTACTAAAAAAAATGAGTATTTCCAATGTACATTTCACACTTACATGAGTTCTGCATTTTAATATGCTGTCAGAATCTATTTTTGTCTTTCATCACCTGTTCCTCAAAAACATCTACTTCATATCTGTCCTCCAAATCCACTGCCAAGCTTCCCAAAGGGAGCAAGGATAGGAGAGAAAGTGGAGTATGTAGTACTTGTTTCCAGGCTCCTCTGAGAGGCACAGTAACAAAAGAGAAAGTTGTGGATGTGGACCTCCCGGGTTGCCCTTGCTGGCTGAACCAGTCGTTGTTTTGCACTAAGACCTGGCTTTCAGCTAACATGTACAGAGTTTAGCATCTAGTTGGGACAGTGCAAGGGTGAGCAGTGCTGGGTGAACTAAAAATAGTTCACAGGACCCAAACAAAATATTGACTACTCCTTTAAAGTGTTTAGCACTTGATCTAAGTTCCAGGACCAAGATTAGAGCAGAAACCAGGAGGCATTCATGGCTTATGAATACTTGCACAAAATAAAGATTATCAGAAGGTGAAAATTTTAGTATCTGATTATTTTGGAAAGTTTTACTTCTGGGGCTGTGTGGCTAAAGATCTACAGGAGTGTGCATGCTATTTTGCTGTTGCTGGTACCATGGAACCTTTCAAGGCAGTCTGTCTTTCAAGGCAGAATAATTCACTGAAATTTGAGAAACCTGACATTATAGAGACCTTATTTCAACCTTAGTGCTATTCCAGAATATATCACTTGGACAAAACCATGTCCTATGGAAAATGACATCTCCTAAAAGCAAAACCGAACTGGATTAGTTTTCCAGGACTTTCCAATAAAATACTGAATATTGCACATAGCTTATTACCCTTCTTTGCTGTAAAGCAAAGTGTGGGTAATAGGATATCCTCCATTTGAAGCAGGTTTCCACCAACAAGTAAACGTTTCCTTTTCTGGAGAGCGGCATTTTATTATTGTAGGTTTTTCAGGAGGTGACTGTCCTGTTAAAACATAAAGAAATGAACTGGTTAGTAAGATTAATGCGTTATGTCAGCTCTGAACTTACAAAAAGCGATGTCAAGCAGAGCACAGCAAAATACTTTTTTTTTCTACAAGGAAAGAAAACTTTTGCTTCATATTATCGTAGGAAAGGAAGAACAGTTCAGTGGTTAGGGCAGCAGCCTGCTACTTTGACCTGGATTCAGAATCCTTTCTCACTGCAGCTGTGCTGAGAAGTTATGTTTTGGTTCCCTGGATTTAGCTCTTCTTCCCCGCCCTATCTGATAAGGGCTGCTCAGTTGCTGTTATAGCATGTTCTGTAAATGATTTAAAATACACTCTGCTATCCAATCTGTCTTCAACTTAAACCATTTTTTCTTTAAAAATTGTGTTTTAAGATGCTTCTGATTGTTTAAAAAATACGCTGTCATTTGTTTCAGGTTTTACAGGAAAAAAAGAGAGAAAGTGTTTGCCCATCTGTTTATGTCCTTTCCAGTAATTTCCTTTTGAAGTACCTATGTGGAGCTGACTTCAAAGATAGATACAAAAAAAGCAGCTCTTGTATTTCCTTGTAAAGTGACATTACGCTCAGTACTCAGCCTGACTGCTGCCAAGCAATTTATAATTATTTGAACTCCTCATAATGTTTTTATATAATCAAGCAAAGCACTTTGAGTAGGGCAGAGGAAAATGTTTAGATTTTGAATAGGATGCCAGTCAAAAAGCGGGATTGAAACTTTTGCAGTTATGTATTTGTGGCAAAATATGGTCCTATTACATCAATAATACATATCTTCCACTATGCAGAGTGGGGACATTGATTTTCCAAATTTCTAACTGCCTAAGCAGCCCATCTGAAAATGGGACATTTAAAAAGTATTTTTTATTAACAGTACTTCAGCAATCTCCATGTCAAATAATGAATAATACAATCAGTGACAGAAGATTTGGCTAAAGTGTCTGACAACACAGGATGTCATGCATATTTGATGTGTCCACTCAAACCCACAAAACACAGATAGTTATTTCCATGTGACAGTAGCTGCAAATGTTATGCTGTATTAGACACAGGCAGTCCTTTCATTTCCGTTACTAATGAACAAATGAATGATTCCTACACAAATACCATTACCTAGTATCTACAGTAGCAGATTAAATCAACATGATTTTTGTAATAAGGGGAAAGGAACAATAGATTATTTAGGTACACTTGTATCAGAAGTGACTTCCTAGTAAATCCTAGCTTCTTTGTCAGAGCCAGTTTGAGCAGAGGATCTGGAGTGGATCAACAAGACTAAAATGTGTTTACACATGAAGTATGTTGAAGATGCACTAAGATGTTCCCCAGGCACTACGAAGTACCTGTGTGAGGAGCCGGGTTTTCAGGGCTGCCATTTACGCACCTTTCACAGCACTGAACAAGCTAGAATTTAAAAACAATTAACAGAACGGCAATTGTCCGCTCACCTTTGGGGATCTGAATGCTTCTTTCAGAGCTCCACTCACTCCATTTTCCAAGGTCTAACTTGCAACGGACCTGAACAACATACTTCACCCCAGGTTGTACCCTAATCACTTTGTACTGTGTCTGCACTCCCACAGATATTGTCTGGAAAACAAAATGGACAGAAAAACAATAAATAATTCATCTATTTTAATAAATAAGCCAAAGAGGAGCTTGTGTCACTGACTTCAGAAAGGCAAGGGTTTCAGTTGGGTATTTGGATGTAGATTTCAAAGAAGCAAAGGTAGCGACTTAACGGAAAATCTCACTTCAGTGACCGTGAGATTCTGACACTCAAGAACACATTTACTTGTAGACTTCCTGTAAGTTAGTACTCCATCAGACCCACAGCGCAAGAAACATTATAGGTAGTCCAACTCACAGACAAGCCCTCTGTGTAGTACGTCTCAGCGGCCAGTTATTATTAAGTGCCTTCCTCAGGCCCTTTGACTGTATTCAGAAGTCTTTCAAAACACAGAGCTTTCTCTGTCATTAAGGCATCAACTACTTAGGTAGCACTGAGTCCACTTGGCTATGATCTTAAGAATGGTATTTCGTCCTGGCATCTGACCTGTGGAGTACTATGGCCCACTCCTAGCAAGACCGTAATAGCTGGGAACATCAGTGGAAACAATTTGTGTGAATAGGACACCCCAAACTTTCTGCTCCCTCCCTGATCATGTTTGAGAGGAAGATGATAATGACACTCAGACCAATTAAATAGTACTTAGGGAATAACTGAGAGACCTAAGAAAAAAAAAGGGTCAGCCTGAGAAGCAGTATTAAGGAAGCATGAAAGTCTTAAGGGAAAGGAAATTGGAATCTTTATCGGTGGTTGAAGTTCAGCTTGATGTGGTCAGGTGGTGGTCAGCTAGCATCTGCCTGGGCCAGCCAGAGCAGCTCCCTCTCTGATGCTGTGAGTAACTGCACTCCAGACAGCACAAGCTGCAGCAGGCAGGAACCCACACCTGTGGGCTCTTTCTCACTGGTGTGTGTCTTGGTAGAAGGGATGTGGGTTCACGTTAAGTTAAAGCATCCACATCCCCTTCAAAGCAGTTGTACCTAGAGGAGTTTGTAGTCACAGGAGGTGGGGTGTGTTTGTAACCTACCTTGGGAGAGGAGAATTTCTGCATTTAGCATACTTCTAGGACTAGTTACAGAGATGTGTTTATAAATTTGTAGGTGTCTATTAATGCTTTCAAGTGGCTGGTATTGTGATTAGTCTGTTCTATTGCTAATACAGACCTAACTGCAGAGTTAAATGATTGCTTGTTAATTACATCTTAATGAATCAATAAACTGCTTTGATCCTGATTTGGTTTAAACTATATGAACGGAGCAGTCTCTTACTTTGATGCTTGGGAACAGACACATTGCTGAAAATTACAATTAAGTATTGTATTGGTGCACTACAGAGGCTTTTATACTATACAACATTAGGAAAATTGTACAAATCCTGTGTTTATAAACTGCTACAGTATTTTTTTTCTTGAGTCAGATTTGGTTACAATATTTTTTCTATCCCTACAGAAACTATTTGTTTCATAATACCAGTGAAATTCACACAAGACAACTCACCAAAAGAGCATTTACACGATAAATACATTTTCCCACAATAAATATATTTTCCCATTACCTCCCACTCTTCCATTCCTTCAGTTTTCAGCCGTAGCTCATAGTGATACACATGTGAATTAGATCTGACATCAGCTATTGGAGGTGGAGACCATTTTGCCCAAAGGTTCGTTATGCTGGCAGATGTTTTTGTTTCTAGAGTGAGGTTCACAGGAGCATCTGGCTGAACTGTATAAATGAAGTTTGCCATTAATGATTTAATTTTTTCTCAGGAAAAAAGGCACCTCCTTTACAGCTTTGTATTTAATCACATTAGTCCAGATCATTCAGCACTTCTTAAGATAACAGTACAATAGCTTTTTTTCCTTTCTCTCTAATAATGTTTAAATGGCTACTGATTTACCACAGTATCAGCAAGTCTCAGACCCTGAATTTGCCAGGCTAAGGAAATACAAATCAGGCTATTCTTGCAATATTAAAATGTCAGATTTTTCATAGCTAAAAAGACTGACTACATTTATCATTACAATGTGTAGATTATGTGTATGCAGCAAGCAGAACAGAGTGGGAATATGAAATACTACAAAAAGCTGGCAAAATGCTTAAGCAGTTATTTCTATCCTCTCAAGTCTGCAGCTAGCAGCCAGAAAGATACTTACATCTGGAAAAAACCCTGGAGCAAATTTTCTAGCCATAATTAAAATGACAATAAAATATGTAGTTAATGAATTCATAAGTAGAATGCAGTTTTCACATAAATTAAAAATGCATATTTCTGATCATCTGTATACAAACTGTTCTCCACAGCAAGTTTCACATGATGAGGAAAGAAATCTCTCACCACTACTTGCTCTGGGATTAAAAGCCACATACATCTCCAATTAGTTTGTTTTTAATTTCATTCTTCTCTTTACCTATGGAAGCCACATCCACGTACTGAGGATCTGAGCTGTTACTTCCAATCTCATTTGTTGCCGTTACAGTGATATTATATGTTGTCCAGGCATTAGTGTGGTTTTTATCAAAGTAGCAGGAATTGGGACCTGATGTTTCGTAGTCTGGGCATTCATAGATGTTTTCTTCACTGAAATAAAATAATTTAAAAAGTTAGAAGTTTAGGAAATTAAGCAAAGCAGATAATCTTGTAACGGCCTATGTTCAGCAAAGAAATTTGAAATGTTTAAACTTGAATATGATCCCACCTCTGGGAAACATTTTGGCAAGTGTCAAATGCTATTACCATAATGTTTCATTGCTATTTTTACTGCAGTTGTTCAGTATGAGGAATATGTCAACAAAAGAATGGAGAGAGAAATTTCCAGAGACAGTCCAAGGCAATTGAAAAAAAATGTTTAAAAGAAAGTTAAAAGGCAAATTAAACACATTCATTTTGACTAAAGAAGAAAAGCTGCTAAGTATCTTCTTTACGTATTTACCCAGAAAGTAACCTTAATGGGATCTATGGCAGACAGGTGTTTTATTAGTTTGGTTTTCTGCAAGATGTTAATTTATCTGCTTTTTAACATGATCATCATCACAACTGTCTCAATTAAAAATATCTAATTAATTCATGACTGCTTACGTATTACTTTTGTATGGGTCTTTGGCTCTTTTAGGAGAGGGATTGTTCTATGCTCAGTTAAAGCTGAAACAGGTGATGTATTTGGAGCCTATCCCAGGTGGCAAGAACTGCGTGGAACCACAGCACCAGCTGAGACGGTTCATCATGAACGTTGTTATGCCCAATGGACCACTAATAACAAGGTCTCTTAGTTTCCAGGCAGTTTTGTCCCTGTTCACAAAGAGAAGATGGGAATCCTGACTGTACCTGAGAGGCAATGAGCTAAGAAAGGCAACTGTGGCCCACACATGGTGTGCTTGGCAGTGCCTGGTGTTCAGCAGATTTAATGAAATGGATAAGCATTCCTGTCTATCTCTAAGCAGGACTGTTCTCTACTGTGAAAAGCACGACTTAAAATATTCATTAAAATTTCTGTTTTGATCAAGATTGAAACATCTGGACTTTCATAACATTATTGTTGAGTATGGTAACTTCATTAAAAGCTGCTTCTTTCCTGATCAATACCAAAAGATTAGGAATTTACCAAATTCCAAATGATTTGGAATTTATTTAGTTGAAGCAGGGAAGTCTGAGGCTTTACCTTATCTATTCTGAACCTCATGGGATTTATTCAAAGATATTGAATCTCTGAGCCCCCCTGCTTACTGGGCCCTATTCAGAGACCTCTTGTTTTCAGGAAGAAAGGGCAATTATACAAGGAAGCACAGGTTAAGCAGAGCTGCTAAACATATACATGTTTTATTCTTAAGCAGATGAATGAATCACAGACTTAACCAGAACATTAACTTCTGGGATGCAATAGCCACATCTGATTTTACTCCCTTTTTGGGAATCAGGAGATTGGCTACAAATGCAGAAGGGGAAATAAAGATGCTCTGTATCTCCAGATGGGGGTTTTCTGTGCAGAGCATTGGACAAGCTCTTTGGCAGGACCCTGAGGGCACCACCAACGCTCACACTGCCTGGGTCCCAGGTCTCCATGTCAGCCTGCTGCAGCAGGGCTGGTCTCCAGCTCCCCACAGCCTTGTCCTTCTCAACTTTCCCCCCAAGCCAGCCCCAACCCATGGGCTGACATCCTGCAGCAGCCAGGCCTCAGCCTGCTCTACTGCCAGGGAGGTGTGTGATGATGAAGGCTGGGATGCCCCCAAGCCTGCCCTGTTCCCAGGGATGGAGATCTTGCCTTGCTGCCCCAGGGGAGCCCCCACGGTGCCTTGATGGTCCTCTCCTCAGTGAAGCATGCCATTCTGCTAAAAGCTGTGTGCCTCCTGATTAAGATGGATAAACTACACCTTTCCCAGCATGTCAATAGACCAGTGGGATTTTAGGTCAGATGAGTTGCACTAGGGACCAGTAGTGGTCATGTTTTCTTCCTACAAGGGAAAGCCATTCATCTCTTGTAGCCCTTGTTGGCTATCTGAGATTTGACAGTGTTTAATAAAAACACCTTTATAAATTAATGCTATCATTCCCTTGTTCTGTCATAATCATCACTTGATCATTTACAGAAGACATATGCATTGTTACCTGTCCTTGCTGTAGAACAGGGTGTAATTGGTAGGAAGTCCTCCATCTGAGCCAGGCTTCCACCAACAAGAAAAGGTTTCCTTTTCTAGAGAATGACATCTTATTATCTTAGGTTTTCCAGGGTATGATTGACCTAGGGAAGTGCAGAAATCCAGCTAGTTAGAGTTGGACAATGTTTTTGGTTATTATGATTGAATGACACATTCAGCAAGGAATGCTTTTCTGAGGACAATAAAATGATCTGGAACTACAGACTGAATTCGTCAAGTAAATCTGCCTGGGAAAAGCCTCAAAATTTACTAAAATAGCTACTAAAATTATTTTACTTCTCTTTTTCCAATGAAAATTTGAGTTTAACCTAAACTTAGAAAGTGTACGTACAGTTACCTTCAAATTAAATTTTTTTTCCTAAAATATAGAAGAATTTTTGTCTTCAGGTCATCTTAAAACTAAATTTCAACTTCAACTTTGCAACAGAACCAAACTTTCATTAATTGCACATATTTGGGGTAAATTATAGGCAAGACAAGTAATAAAAAGAGGGAATCAATGGGCTGGATGCAGTATTGTGTATTGGTAAACTGAATGTATTCATTAATTATTTGAATATTCCCTGATAATCCCAAAACATTTATTTCCTGTTAAGGCTACTTGTCATTAACTTCTACCAAAAACGTAGGCTGTAAATTTACATACATTCTGACTTGTAAAGCATATGGCTTTTCAACCTAAGCTTATCTTTACTTCATGAAAGTTCCATACCATTACTTCTAATACTGTTACTATTAGATGATGCTAATTCCCAAGCATGGAGTGAGTGTAGGGATGGAGTGAGTGCCTTTCACCATTGCCACCACATAATCATGAAATTAATAGCATAAAAAGAAGAGAGGACTCAAGTCATTTCCAAAATCTCCATACAAAACTTTAGAAGAAAGTAATTTAGATACGTACAGGCTCCAGTGGTGGTCAGGACAGATCAGGTAAAGCCTCAGACTAAAGAAACTGTTTTAAAGGAGAAAACAAGTGTTTCAGGAAGTGTTGTGCTTACCCATCAGACCCACTGCAGTCAGAGCAAGTAGAAGAATGATTTGTACTGATGATGTCAGTTTCTGCTTCATGATGCCTGCTTCTCCTCCGGAGGAAATACCAGATCAAAGGCTCACTGCAAAATACGCCATCATGCAGTAGTTAGTAATGGTGCTTTAACGTGTAATATGTATCACTTCTCTTGATCAAAGTCCTTCTTGAATTGCAGCTAATTGATTCTTGTTTTGCTCAAAAAGGTGCGGCAACACCTATGGTTCCACTTCAGAAGCAGAAAAACTGAATCACAGAGCGGTGAGTAATTCTTCCTGAATGGTTAACAGTGCTAGGATTACAATTCTATAGCATTAACAAATTTTGCATATCTATTTAGCATCTTGAGATGCTGTGTGCTTTTCTTACAGCTCTTCATCTAGAGTCATTAGTTTATATGAGAAATCAGCCTTTTAGTAACAAAAAAATACCCTGTTGATACAATACCCTGTTTTACCCCTGTTGATACAAAGAAGAACTCATCAAATCTGAAACTCTGGAAATCACCCAAACAGAAAGCAAATAGAAAAATATCCAGAATTTGTGTAGCATTTTATGATTTTAAGACAGTCTCGTGTCTTCTGAATATTTGGGACTGACAATGTTGAATTCAGAACCACATGAGCTGAAGAATGCTACTCTCTCTGTGTTCCAATTGTTGTTCTTACTGTGTTTGATTTTGCAGTTAAGTGGAAACGCTAAGATCAGAGAAAAGAAACCAAGGAAAAAGTGGTGTAACGGCACAGTTAACTTATCGGGTGAAAACGCAAGAGGGAATGCAGTTATCCCTCTTTGTTCAGTCTGTAAAAACCAGAGGCAGTGTGGCAGAACTTGGCTGAAATACAGCGAGGTGCAAGTGAGAAGCCACCAGCTGTGAAGACGCAGTCCCTGCGGTGGGCTGACACCACTAGATGTCCTCAGAATTCAGGTTACAGCTCAGTGTGGCCAGGAGTCGCTGTTGCTGCTAAATCTGACTCTTACAGGCTGCAGAAGAGACAGAATGACTTCAAGCAAACCTCCTGCTTGTCCCACCAGTACTTGTCCTGCTTGGAGATGGTGACTGGAGAGGGCTGTTAGATTCTCGGCAGCCAACCTCACTCCTTAAAGAAGAACAATTTATTATCTGAATAGGTAACTCCTTACCTTGGCTTTCTGTTCCTACCAAGCACATCTGACAGGTATTTTTGTGCTTGAAACTCAATTCAGTGTAGCACAGCGTGGGAACAAGCTGTCTCTTTGCTGAGGAAGAATGCTTTGTGGTTTATCAGATGACTCAATTTTCATTATGCAATTCATTTTCTGTATCAAGAAACTATAATCTGTCATATAAATGTTTGTTATGCACAAAGGCAAACGGAAGTATTGGTTAATTTAACTGAGTCTAAAGCATGTTTACTGTGGACAGTCTGGAGAACAACAGTTGGCTACATTTCCATATACCACTTCTGAATATGAAAGCATGTTTAACACATGCTTCCTAGCTACAGCCTGGAAAATCGCATCTGGGTTAGTTTTAAGATCACTTGCAGCAATCTGTTCATATACAGTCAGTGGAGAGCAAGTAATTTTAATATGAGTTCCAGTTTTGTGTAAGCACATTCAGATTTTATGACTATAAACAAATGGCAGGCACAAACAGTTGTGTTTAACTTCAGAAACGAGCTGAAAACTTGGTGTAATGTGGCATTCAGACTACTGAGAGCATACAAGAGCAAGGCACATTTTTTCTCAAGGGAAGGTGAAATACTGAATTATAAACAGTAACTATTTCATGTACTTATGAGACCACTTACAATATTTTACTATCTGTAACAGTAGTTGCAGCATTTGCAAAATGCAGTGCTTTCAAATTAAGACTCATACTATGCTTCCCTTTAGAGAACTGGTACCATGATTTAGGTTTTTTTTTTTAACAGATGTGTCTCTTCTGTGTAAAGAATTGACAGACAAGAAACGGATTACAGTGGGTAAAAGAATGAAATTTATTAATACCATGAAAGAGAAAGCATCATCAAGAAAGAGTACTCTTCAAGGAAACTGGGATCTTTTTGGAAGCTGAAAAACTAAAGAACCAAATTAGTAGAAATGGGATGAAGTTAATGCATGTAAACTCAAGGGGTTTTCCTTAGGAACATTTGTTTTTTAAAAACGAGATGATCATGAACTACTTCTGCAATGTGGTTGTGAAAAAGAACAGGACACATACAGGGAAGGATTATGGTTCTCTTACTGCCACAGACTAAACTCTATGAACAGTTCTTGTCACCTCTATTTGGCAAAAAAACCCCACCCAGGTTAACTGTTTAGAAAAGATTTAGAACACAGCTAGGAAGATGAGCAGAGGACACAGGGGGTGTCTCATGATGGCAATTTAAAGAGTTGGCTTTCTGCTCCACCAAGGACGGTTGTCTTCTATAAACATAGCAGGAGATTAGCATCAAAAGAGGGAAAATAAGAATGCGTAAACTCTAGCAAATGTTGGAGCAGGAATAGATGGCCGTAATTAGCTCATAAAATTAGAGAAAAAATGTTACCATCACAGCAGTGAGTTTCTGGAATAGTCTTCCAAACACGATAATCCCATTTAGCTTTCCCAGCTAGTCTGATCTATTATGAGATATATATGACATGGTTGGTTGTGACAGCTGAGAACTGGACTTTGTGATCTAATATATGCTTTCCAGGCCTGTGTTTCAAGCTTAATACTTTGAACTATTAACAGTTAGAAAACTGCAGTAGCAGGAGATGGCTGGACATCCTATTTTACATTCAGGATTTAATACTTTCAAATTATTTTCTACTAAAAAATTATTAGAACCTCTGTTTATTTGAAGATTGAGCTTAAAAGAATCCTAGAAAAGCTTCATTCTGATACTTGTTTTGCTTTCTGAAGGAATGTGAGCAGCAGCAGAGCAGTGGCCAGAAGGCTCCAGGCATATTAACCATATTCCATTTGTTCCAGTGCCTATGTTTCCATGGTTGCCTCGTATTTGGTATTTGTGGTTGAAATGTTGTTTAGTAGAAAAAATAATATCCACTTTGTTGTAACTGCATCAAAAGTGCATCTCCCCTGTTTATGACTTGATGTTTTCATAAAGGAGTAATTAGCATTAATGAAGATGCTGTGAGGGAATGACTCATTTTCAGGACTTAATGTATTATTTTATAAGAGGCACACTGGACAATGATTTGCCAGAATGCCATGCAAAACCAAAGATTGAGTAACTGATAATTAAAAGATCACAAGCCTCCTTTTTGAGAGTTTTTATTTAATTCCAACAAAGTTATTACATTCTGACATAGTTGAATTTCTCCTTTTTAAGACAGCTGTTAAATAGTATTCAACAGCTGCACATTGCACCCCAGAAAACAGTGTGCCTTGATGGAAACTGGAATGATTACTGAGGTTTTAGCATGTACAAAAGTGCGCTCTAAATATGCCTGTAAAATAACCCTACTCTACAACTAATAATATTCTGAAATTGTAGGTTTGAAAACAGTGCTTGCAATGCTGCTGAATGAAGCTGAAAGTTAAACACCAATACTGAAATCAGGTGCAGAGGACTAGGGTTGAAAGAAAAAATATCCTTGTCCTAATTGAGTTCTAGTTCATACATTCTTTTGTCTTTCTTTGGCTATGCTGATGGATAAATATCCTGAGATTGACAGAGAAGCCTTTATTCATTTCTGCACAGATGGAAAAATCTTCTATCTGAAATGCTTTCAGGCTTGCAAGAAGGGGAATAACTGTATAGAACGCACTGGCAATGATATTATGTCCATCACAAGCTTTGCTTGTGCTGCTAGAGAAATCTATAGCCGAAAGTACTTTACCAGACAAGATTCACACCCCTGCTAGTTATGATGATAAACAGCGTTCATCTTTCAGGACTGGGGGAAGGCAGTTTCAGGAGTCTCAAAACACTGCAGTTCATTACTATTTGGAAAGCTGAACTACAGCTCTGTGAGACTAACTGCAAATAAAGCAAGAATGTGACAGGTTATTAGACCATCCAGAATCCTACTAGCCATGTATTCAATTATACTGGAGATGTTGCATGAGTCTCTCTTCCCACATCAAGTTCTCAAATGCCAATACAGATATATGTCCATAGCCAAGACCTGGGCATCGTTATCACTGTAGATGTGTTTCTGAGTGACAGTAATGGTTTGCATCATGCTGCAAATTAAAAGCTATGGATGGGCAGTGCACCCAGAGATCAGCTTTCCCTCTCTGAATGAGCCCTAATTGGAGGTCCCCAAATTCTGAATCCCTCAGGCACCCACTACAGCCTTCAGGGAGATACATAGGCTTCTCACAAGATACGGAGTTCAGACATGTCTCTGGTCTGAATTTCCTTTGACTGATTCCAGGTGGCTACTTCTAGCACATTGCTTTTGTGAGTGCTTTGTGAGGATGCTTAGTTCCTGCTGTTGGCTGTGTAAGAAAAACTAGTCATCCAGTTAATTTCTCTCCTGGGACTTAACTTCCTATTTCTTTTGTTGTATAAACTGGAAGCACCTACAAGTTCTTTTAGGTGAAAAAGCTTTTCACCTGACAAGTCTGTATAAGGGTTTCTAATGTATTTTTCCTAAATTTCTCTCTCAAACAGAATTCCTCCTAACAATTCTTTGTAGTCTTTCCTTTGATTAGCAGTTACATGTGATGATGAATGGAACAAATTCCCTCACCCATGGAGATGTGCTCCACAGTCTGAAAGACTTAAGTAATTTCTCAAAAACAAAAATCATGAAACTTCAGAGCCTTGAAAATAGTTTAGACACTTATTTCTCCATCGAAGTATTTATGTAATCACTTAACTCCTAGTGATTTACAGAACTGAGCCTGAAAAAAAAAAAAGCACTGTTCTCCCTGTTTTACAGATGGGGAACCAAGACACAGAACACTCAAGTACTTTGCTCAGACTAATACCGGAAACATAACAAAAGCTAAAAACTGATCCTTTCCTACTATTTTATTTTTTTTTCTTTTCTGAATACCATCTCTACTGCCTTGTTTTCCCAGTAAGACATGGTTTAGCTAACAACAGTGTTACCCTACCAGTCTCACAGGTCCTGAATATTCTGTTTTGTTCCCTGGTGGTCTGTATGTTTAGCCATAATTTTAAGCTTCTTATTTTTTACAGCAGTTTTTTATGGATAAGAAAATCATAAGCTCTAATGAATAAAATTTACTGTTTGAATTTACATTACAATTTACAATACAACTCAAAAATTGCACTTGAAATATGATGGAAGTTCATTTCTACCAACTACCAAGCCCAACTCTGTTATCTTCCTATAGTGATTTTAAATATTATTTATATACAGCATGTCATGGAATACCAGTTTCCTACCTGAAGGATTCATGTGTGTGAGGAACATTTTTGTTCCTCTCTTTTCATGAATGTCAGATCACTTGATAACCTGCAAAGAAAAAATATTCCAGGATTAGTATATTATTGAAAGCATCACTACTTTATTCCTAAAGCATGAAGAGCAAACAAAAAAATCCCTTTTTGCGTTAGCTGATTCAAATACTGGCACTGTAAGTCAGTACATTTAAACATTGAGAGCAACAGCGAGCAACTGTACACTCTCTTTCCTTCATCTGTTCGAGTAAAAGCACAAATTTTTTTAGCAGTTTAAGATGCAGTTTAGATGTAACCAGTAGATTGTGCTAGGCTATGTGATTGAAGGCTAATGACCATCTACATAAAGGCTGGGACAGCATCAGGTAAAACTTGATGGGATTTGGGGAGGAACCCTGGGGGGTCTTAATCAGTGAGAATAAGGCACAGGGAATTGGCTGCGCCTAAGACTACCCAAGTGCAGTCAGATCATTGTCCTTTGTGTGGAACATACCAGGAGGAGCCAACTGAACAAATCCTATTTCCTGCCTCACAGACTGAAGGGGATATAACACTTATTAAGGATGCGGGAGGGAAAAAATCTGGGGAGGAAAGGAAGGGATCAAAGTGGACTGGGGAGAAGCAAGCATGGGAAAATAAGGTGAAAAGGGGAATAAAGGGGTCATTTAAGTGTGAAGTGGTGGTTTCTCTGACTGAGATGTGCACCTGACCACTGTAGTCTACCCTTTATTCTCATTAAGTCCTCTTTCTAACTGTTTCTTGTCTGGGTGTGCTCTGTTCTGAGTGGGTACATTTGAATGCTAGTGAACTTTCAGATGGATTATCCAGTGAGGAGTGGGACTGCAAACCTCATATGCAACTGCCCCTCAACTGAGGAGACTAGAGGATCTGAGGCCAGCTACTGAGTTGACTGAGCACCTAAGACCAGCCACTAGAGCCATCCATTTGCTTTTTTTGCAAATACAGACACATATGTGAAAATGTATACGTTAAATCTTTGTTGATGTGTGTGGCCCCTGTGTGTGTTTATTGTCCATCTGCCCACCCACTGGGACCAGCTTGCTCAGCTTTGCTACTGGCAGAACCTGAAGGTATGGTGTACAGCAGCCTCACATCCATGGGGCTTTCTGATTCAGCTGCCTCTAACAGACTGAAATTGAATGTTTTACCCCCACCAAAAGCCACTATGCTTAACTAACTGTTCCTTGACATCCCATCCAAATACATTATGCCGTGAAGAAATAATTTAGATGAACTTCAATGGGCAACTTACCTGCAAGAGCAAGAAAAACTGTTTATATGTGAGGTTACTAACTTCCTCATACTATTTCATACAAAGTCTTCTCTCTTTAAACAATTTAAAACAAAGTAGAATGTTTTTACAACTGACATTACGAATGATCTGTATCACCTGGAGAGCAGGTGGGAAGCTGTGTTACTCAGTTACCAGGGTATACTTTTGTTTGGTTCCATTTATGTAAAGCCTAATGAGAACAATAAAAATACCATGAAATTATTTGGCAGCTAAACATTATGCCGTTACAGAGAATCAGATTTAACTGAGGGTGATAAATGATTTCTTTTTTATGTGTGTATACATGAAACAGCATAGATAGCATACATATGATGCAGCAGAAATAATGTTTGCAATGAACATATTCAACCATGACATAAGGTGAGATGTACTTGAAAAGACATGGCTAAGTGCTCCCTGTTTTAGAAAGGGCAGAAATCTGGTTGCCAGTGTGCATGCTGGGAACACAGTTGGATTCAGAATTGGCTAAATAGAAGTATTCTCCCAAATACAAGCTGCCTTAGATCTGGATCACTTCACAGAGACATGTAAAAAAGTCACACAATTTGCTGTATTTAAAAGGAATCCCATTACTAAGGGAAAAATAGATGGTTACGGTAACTAAATAAACTTTTCTCTACTTTTTCTGATTTCTACAACTTGGTACTACATCAAAACATACAATTCTATCCTACCAGCAAATTTTATACTGCTTTCATTACTGCTTTCATGAAGAAGTGATATAATGAACTGCCAATGCATCTTTACATAATATGGCTGATGTAAAAGCTGGTTTTCACCAAAGCTACAATAGCGCTGTAAGTACCAGCTTGTTCATGTCTCAGTGATCAGAAAGGATCACTGTTAGACAGAACTGATAGAATTGACCTTATCTCCTGCATTAACTAGGATAATGACTCCCACACAAATATTTCTACATCAAATCATCATTATGCAAATAATATTTATTATGATAGCCGTGAGAATAAAGATAGAATCCCACTGAGTTAGGCACTGTACACAAAAGAGTTTCAGCTCTTAAGAAATTAAAATATTCAATTTTCAGTTTTTCTATTTTCAATTGAAATTAACCAATTAATAATTGGAAGAAAGGCATATAACAAGCAGGTCAAAACTTGAATACATCTGGTTTTAAACTAAAGATTATTTTCAAAATATGCAGACTGCCTGTGAAGAATCGGTTTTAGAAAATTCACTTTAGAATGTCATTACAGAATGCCACAAATGCCTTTCAATCAAAGCCAATGTATGCAAATTTTCAGAATTCCAAAATGACCAAATGTCTCTAAATATCAACATAAAGCATTTTGTTTTGAAATTTTCCAGTAGGACATTTTCTGAAATTTAAGCAAATAACTGCAGTTTTGTGGTAACTTTTCTTTTCCCATTGAAAAAGTTTCATTCTCATGTTGCAATGAAAAATTTCTGATAATCTTTCTTTAATTATACATAGAATTTCAATGAACAATGCAATAGCATGAAATGTTATTTTGTCATTTTGGGGCAAAGATGCTGGTGGAGAGGTGAGGAAGTTTATTTCTTATTAAGGAGAGACTAAAATGATTAAAACTTTACAGAAAGCAAAAGAACAGAACTTTGAAAGCACTAAAGGGAACACAGTAACAGAGGAAAGTGTGAAAGGTTTATGGAGTGACTCTGAGGAAAAGAGACAATAAGGAAGAATGCAAAAGGGGAAAAAAATCTGTAGGCACTGGGCAGTAAAGGGTTGGATAAAGTTGCAATTTTGAATGTATTCCAATTTCCCCTTTGTGTTTCAAAGCTCCACCCCCAAACAGCCTTTTCTTGGGGAACGCATGCAGTGGGTTGGGTGGAGGAGAAGAATGTTCTGTATCACAGGGCCTACAAGCATCAGTAGGGTAGTGCTGAAGATAGCTGTAACCTTAGCACAGTTTCTTCATTCCCTCTCACTGAGATAGTCCATTTTGGCTGAGTCTGTGTCTGGAGTCTCTCCTCAGAGCTTTACGACTCTAGTAAGACTGTAACCGAACTGCAGGGGAATAAATGTTCAATCACAATTATGCTCAGTAATTAACATTAACAGTGGGAGCAAAGAAAACTGTTGGACAAATAATTGTTTCTCATTTCAGTGTTCTCTTTTTAGGAGGTCCTCAGTATGAGGCTGTGAAAGTAGCTGGTTTTATGAGTACATATTGTACATTTTACACTTGAATTGCTTAAGTGACTGTAGAGTTACTCTATAAAAGAACACAATTACCAAAAATTACTTCTCAAACCAATAGAAACAATCAATGTCCTATTATATGTGAAGATTTCTCAAACATATTCCCCAAACTTCAAACTTGTTGATAAAAAAAGCTTTGTGGTTGCATGCTAAAGGCTATTACTAGTGCCATATACAGATCAAGAGGCACACTTGTTGGCTAAAGGAATAAAACAGTGTTTTCTTTGTAATCTAAAACTGAAGGGAAGAATCTTTTCTCACAATTAGTTAAGGGAAATTGATCTTAATAATAAAACAATTGTTCTTAACAATAAAACAATATTTAACTTTCAGCCTTCACTTTCCTGAGCTTAAAATAATTAATCTTTTAACACTTCTGAAGTAGTATATACTCCCTTTAATGCAGAAATATGTGGATGTGCAGAGAAGTATATTGGTGGCATTTTGTAGCTCTCTGGTAACACATTCCTGTGTTTGACACATTTTTTAAGCAGATTATTTTCTTCAGGTGTTTATCTTGGTGTCATTAATTTCCTATGTCAGTAAAAACCACACAGCTTCCTTACAGAGAGTGTCTCATTACAGAAAGTAAAAAATATCAAATTATTTTGAATTTTCTACATGCCAAACCAGTAACAGTATCACTATTGCTGTATCATAACCCTGTTAAGTTCCACACAGATTCTCATCTTCCAGAAAAAATGTCTTTTTTAATTGCAGTTTTGCAGTGAAAGAATACTGAAGGTCCTAAAACCTTCAATATGCCTTCTGAAGGAATTAGCTTTGATCAGGATTACAATTTTCCTTCCTAACTTCTGCATGATGAATGTACAAACTGAATGAAATATAGCACTAACTTGATCTACCCCCATCTTCAATCTAGGCTGCTGTTCCTTAAAGATTCTCAGTCATCCTGGATTGTGGTTTGGATTTTTCATTTGTTTTACAGTATAAGGAAATGAACCTGAAGTTGCAGACTGTGAGACTTTTATGTACTTGTTTACAGAATAAAGACTTACACTGCAGTCTCTGGAGGTTAAAGGTAAGTTTATTAATGTATTCTTTCATTAACCCATTCATTTATTAACTCACTTGCTGTTTCTTAGAAACTGCAAGGACCGTACTCTGTTTCATACTGATGAATGCATTTCTAACAGGTAGTGTTTGCATCTCTGTTAGAGTAAATAAAACACATCAAGAAACTACTTGAAGAAATTCATTTTGCAGAGAGAAATCTTCACTGTACAGCAATACCCTGTGGAGAAGGACTTGAGGGTGTTGGTCATGAGAAACTGAACATGAGCAAGCTGGCTTCAGTGTGTGCTTGTAGCTCAGCAACCAACTGTATCGTGGGCTGCATCAAAAGGATCGAAGGAGGTGATCCTGCCCCACCACTCTGCTCTTGTGAGACCTTACTTGAAGTATTGTGTGCAGTACTGGTGTCCTCAACATAACAACATGGAGCTGTTAGAACAAGTCCAGAGGAGGCCACGAGGATGATCAGGGGACTGGAGCACCTCTCGTATGAACACAGGCTGAGAAAGTTGGGGCTGTTCAGCCTGGAGAAGAGGAGGCTGCGTGGAGACCTCATAGCAGCCTTCCAGTATCTGAAGGGGACCTATAGGGATGCTGGGGATGAACTCTTCGTTAGGGACTGTAGTGATAGGACAAGGGGTAATGGGTTAAAACCTAAACAGGGGAAGTTTAGATTGGATATAAGGAAGAAGTTTTTTACTGTGAGGGTGGTGAGGCACTGGAATAGGTTGCCCAAGGAAGTCGTGAATGCTCTATCCCTGGCAGTGTTCAAGTCCAGGTTGGACGAGGCCTTGGGTGGTATGGTTTAGAGCGAGGTGTCCCTGCCCATGGTAGGGGGGTTGGAACTTGATGATCTTAAGGTCCTTTCCAACCCTAACTATTCTGTGATTCTAGGATTCTATAAAGGAAAGCAAATGGCCCAGTTAATAAAGATTAACTAAACAGAAGATACTAGGTTTTAGATTATGGATAGCATTTAACAAACTGAGGACATAAGAATGCCTCTCCCCTACTTCTGCCACCAAATATGTCTGATTAGATTTCATATGAATGTTTTCAGTTTGCCCTACTACTCCATGAAGTTTATTTAACCACTTCTTGATTAAATAATAAATAAATAATTATGAAAGAGAATTTGGAGAAAGAAAGACTTCAAGGAACAAAAGATACATTCTGTACTAGAGGAAAATATATTTTATTTCTTTTCTACAGTTATTTGGTGAAAAAAGACTCAGAATGAAATCAAGACCTTTTGGTTATACCATTTATTAATGCATCCAGCTACATCTGCTTTTTCAGTGAATGTTTTTGATTTGCTTTTATTGTGTCACTTCAGTGGTTGTGCAATTTTTCCTTCTTTGCACTTAGTCCCAAATTGTATCTATGGTGTGTATGAGAATTATAAAGTTTTATAAGCCTTATTGTACTGGGTAATGACATCACCTTGGAACAGTAGAATCAAGACTGGAGTCCTCTGCCTTTGAAAGATTATAAAACCTCCAGCCAGTTTAGGAGCCAAAGGGGAAGGGATGATGACTGGGGATTGAAGTTGTCAATTTTGAACTGCTTGCAAGCAAAACCACCTGATTTTCACCTAAAAGAATACTCTGACCAAAATTCAAAAGTTCCAATAATGATGACTTTTTATGCCCAAGCAACCTGAAATGTCAGATCAGCATGTTTTAATAGGACAAAGGCTATCTCATAAAAATTGAAAAAAAACCCCAAAAACCTCCACAAAAAAGAATATGTAAAGGCAAAAACCTGATATATCAATGGCATTTCTTTTAGAAGTATTTTAAATTTTCAGGGAATCAAAGAAAAGGCATAAGCATCAGGAACCCTCATGCTTGCCCTCTATATAGAGGACTTCATAGTAAATTAAGGTAAATTAGTAAATTTTACTAATTTACTAATTACTAATTTACTAATTACTAATTTACTAATTAAATAATTTTAAGTGTCATAATTTACATCACTTGAAATCAATTATCACCCTCCATAATTAACATCAACCCATTTTGGTTTATATTTCATTACAATGAACTTCAATTAGTATTTTCTTCATAGGCACTCAGTTACCTGATCGTGTTTCAAATGGTAAGAACGTTATTTTTGCATTTAATCCAAAATATTTCATCCACAAACCCTGAAATAAAAACCTTATGCTGACATTTATGAAATGGCAGGAGGAAAAAATGCTCTAACTGGGTTTTACTTTAGGTGGTAATAACACAGGCTTTTAAATCCTTGCTTACATAAAACCTGACCTTTTCATTTGATATAAAAGTCATTTTTATTGAAACTTGGATCCACACTTCAGTCATTATTGTTACCTGCATCTTTTCAAGTTGCCTTTTCAGTAATGCCTTTTATGGTCATACGCCTTCATCTTCTTGGCTGTATGCCCTAGGTAGCAGCATATTTTATACAGTTTAAATGAAAAAAATCATTGAAGAGTAATGCAACCATATTTTGGATTTCTCTTTTAATCCTTCACTTGCTTCACTGACAGTCTGTTGAATATATAATCTGACACTCTTTAATAGACACTGGCACCAGACTTTCAAATCCGGTTCAGATTGTTTGTTTAACTGGGCATGGTAGGAATCCTGAGCTGGAACAGTCAGATCTCTGCCTCCTTTAATGTCTTCTAATTCATGCACCTGTCAGAGTGCATGAGGTGGTTACAGCCTCTAACAGGGCTGCCAATATTACAGTCCTGGGTGGCTATCACCAGCATAGAACAAAGCATCTGTGAAAAAGCTCAAGCACACAGAATCTATTAGGGCTCTAAGAACCATCCACAAAACTGAGTAAAAGAGGCATCTTTCCTTCCTCCTCTCTGCATCTTTGTCCCAGGTGCAGCTCAGACAGTGTAGGGCACTTGGCTTGCAAAAAAGGTTTTGAGCATTGCCTTGTGGTAGCTTTTCAAGACATCACAAATAGCAATAGGATCTTAAGAGGGCAAATCAACTGCAGACAATACAGATGGGTAACTGAGGCATTATGAAGTCTTTAGATGGAAACGTATGTTTTAGAAATGACTAGACCAAGTGAATCACAGAAGTCTATTGGGTTATAAGTACCATTTTTCTGCCTTTTTTCCCCCATTAGATTTCTTCAAGCTTAATTCTATAGCACTTTCAGAACCCTAGCTACATTTAAATATTTGCTTACTTTTGTCTTACTTTTCATTTACATTGCTACTTTCTATGAAATACACTGACTGGTACAAAAACTAACTAGCTGTTCAATAATCCAGATCAATTATTCTTCATAGCTAAATGGTGCTGAATAATATGTGCTAAGGATAAGCTAAGACCATCTCTGCAATGTTGCTAAACTGGTTTAGATGCCTTCTGCCAATGAAGCATCATGCCAACACAAACTTCACTTCTTCATTCTGAACTCTAAGCGTGAGCTACTCAGCATAGGCATCCATATCACACAGATTAGGAGTCACAGGTGTACAGATCTGAATAAACAACCACTACCTACAGATATGTTACTGCCCTTTGTCAGAATTTGGAGATGCAGTTAGAAAGCTGTGTTAGCTTATATGGACAAGAGATAGGCAATGACCCAGTTTTTTGGAAGGATGAATAAACACAGTAACATTTAGCCACTTCTCACAGGCTGTTTTGTCTCTGATACAAAAACCAAAGAGGGCAGTTTTTTAATAATGATTTCTGGTACATTTCTCCTCCAGTGGTACAAAAGAGCAGTGCTTCTGCAGGTTGTTGATGGGCATTCCATTTCAAAATCTACTCCACTCCTTCAGTTTCCAGCTCTGATTTAATTGCTTAGCTATTAACTGCTTGAACAAAATTAATGCTTTCAAAGATGAAACTGGTACTTGAAAATATTAGTGTATGCACAGAAGCATATGAAAAGGGACAGTCATGGGCTCTTTTTTACAATTCAAACCCTCTGATCTGAGCAAGAGTGCTTAGTTTTTATACCTGCCTATTCCTAGAAGAGTTTCACAATTACGTGTCTACAACAGAATATACAAATAGAACATCTCCAAATCAGAACTGCGCAATTATAACCGTGTTGCTATACAAAGTATGACCATATATTCTTAGCTTGTTTATTTATTAACTTAAGATTACTCCTTTGTAGAAGAAATGTGATTCCTTCTACAGGATCACATTCTGATCGTACATCTGTGGGACTAGATATATGCAAATATTGTCTTTGGGCATAATATTAAAGCCCTATTGTATTTCAATGATCTATTCATGGGACGACTCCGAATAGCAGATGCAAGAAGAAAGAAGTCTTAACATCCTCTATGTGGCAAAGGCAAGAATCTTCTGCTGAGGAGAAGGCTATAAAGACCATCAGTGTTACAGGAATCACCTGTTACCCTATTTTTCCATGTGATGGATCTTGATATCATTAATACTACATTTTCTTCACATGCTCCATGTCTGATAATTTCACCTGTTAAAGCTCATTCACTCTTAGAGGATTTCACAGGCCAGACAGATCTATTTTTTGTGTTATTACCAAGCAGAATTTCTTGAAATTATATGCTTGTACTTCACAAGGCTCAGCAATCAAGTACATGGACTTAGTCCTTTACTATGCTGTCTGCATGAACCTCTTTACTTCAAGAGTCCTACTGATTCAAACTTACTTTTTGAGATTTCTGTCTTCTGTGTGATAAGTGTAACGGGAATTACACACTGCTTTATTTCCTTAACCCTCAGTTTCATAGCATCTGAGAATTTTTTTAAATATAGTACCTGCAAAATATTAATTTCTAGATATAAAATATAGAATACGAAGTGAGGTTTCAAAACAGTAGTACACAAAATAGATGTGAATTATTGAAAAAAATTATGGAGTTATTCCTGATTTGACATGATCTACCTCAAATTCTTCAGGAAGCAAGCATTTTCCTGCAGGAATCTGAAGGCTTAGTAGCAGCTTCTCAAGGTCAGTTTTGCTATGGAATTCAGTTCACTAGTATACACTCTGATATGAAAATAATTTTATTTCACTGAATTCATGCATTTTTGCCACTTAGTGGATTAAATACTTATATAAAATCAATCAGTTACTAGAAACTAAAAAGGACAAGAAAGAGTTCATGCTTGTGCTATCATGCCAGTGCAAATACTCTAGATTATGGGCTAAAAGCATCAACTGGATATGTAATCAATCAGCAGGAAGCACTGCTACAATCAGTATTATCTTTATCTTAAAAAAGAACTTCAGAAATACAGGGGGCAACTGTTAAAATCAGAGGCATTTCTGCAGACTGTCTGCAAGTGAAATTGGTAGGAATAGCCATTAGCTCAAAGGCTGTAAAACTAGACTTTAAAGAGTTGTTACTGCTGTTTGTAAGACATGATGTTATTTTTACATTCCTCAGTGAAAGCATAGGTTCTGGAGAACAAATCTTTGGATAAGAGGATGGGAAACAATTCAAGGGCAGAGAATCATAGAGGATATTAAGCCTTCCAATTATACCAGAGGTGGGGAAGACAGAAATGAGTATCAGAAAGCAGGTGTACTGCTGAAGAAGAATTAGAACTCAGCTCCAGACTTCTGCTTCCATCCCTGCCAATAGCTTAGTCTCTGACATGTCGGACATCTGTTGCCTACCTGCAAAATGGACAGACATTAAATCTCACCAAAATGTGTATCTTTTTAATTACACTTATAATTTGCATGTTGATTGAAATTAATGTTTCCGAGATACTTCGAGGACTTTAGCTTGCAGGGATTATTCATGGTCAGAATTATTGCTAGTAGCAATTTTGTTGTAAATAACTAAAAATAAAAGCCAAGAGGGAATTCTAGTAAACATTTAAAAAAAATTACTAAAGAACTCTGGAGACCACCTAGTCCCACCCCACTGCTCAAAGCAGGGCCTACTAGAGCAGGCTGCCCAGGGTCATGTCCAGTTGGGTTTTGGGTATTTCCAAGGACAGCAATTCCACAACCTCTCTGGGCAACCCTTTCCACTGTTTGAATGCCCTCATAGAAACAAGTTTTTTATTATATTTAAGTGGATTTTCTTATACTTCAGTTTGTGCTCATTGCTTCTTGTCCTTTCTCTGGATGCCTCTGAGAAAAGCCTGGCTCTATCTTCTTTACTTCCTCCATCAGGTATTTACACCCATTGATGAAACTCCCCTGAGCCTTCTCTTTTCCCCGCTGAATAGCCTGAGCTCTTTCATCCTCTTCTCATAGGAGAGATGCTCCAGTCTCTTATTTATCTTAGTGGTCCTTTGCTGGACCTCAGTATGCCAGTGTCTTTTTTCTACTAGGAAGCCCTGAACTGGACACAGCACTGCAGGTGCTTCAAACTGAAGACTGGCAAGACCTTCAGGATAAACACTCAAAACCCAAAGCTAAAATATGTAACTAATTCCATTCATTGAGGAAGGGGGAGATTATGAAGCCAGCTCTTAGAACTTTGCATCAGAGTCCCACTATGCTCACTCTTCACTGGTGAATATGCATAAGAACTGGCACTGGGGTTCAGGAAATCCTGGTTCTACTCTTGAATCTCTTTTCATTTACTTTTACACAATATTTTTCCATTAGTCAAAATCTGATTCCTTTTTTAGAGGAACTGTGTTCATAACAAAAGCAGCAGCCAATGACTGAATTCCTTTACAAACCACTTTATTTTTTACTTTACAGCCAAGCAATTAAAAAAGTCATATAAACTCTCAACCTGGGAACAAACTGTTGTTCTTCAGAAAGTTCATATGTTTGCATTTGGCTAACTGCATGGAAAAGAAAAGCTTTGTCATTTATTGATATTTTTTCTCTCCCTCCACCAGCATGCAGGTTGGTAACCCCTAACAAGCATTATATGCCTGGCATTTCTATTTCAGTGACATTTTCAGTGATTGCACTGAAATTACATCCCAGAGCATTTTAATGATTATCACTTTACAAAAAGCTTGGAGCGACAGCACACTTCTCATTACTGAGGAACATGAGTCTTTGTTCTTTTTGACATCTACAAAACATGCAGGTCTGTGTTTTTCCTGCAGCTTTACTTACACAAGTATGTTTGACATTAAACCCCAGCAAAACCTCCTACTTATAAGACGAAAAATGTTGTAGGTCATGAATCTGGCTGGAGTAGCTGGCTCTGGTGGGTTGACCCTGGCTGGATGCCAGATGTCCACCAGAGCTGCTCTATCACTCCCCTCCTCAACAGAGCATATGATAAAAGTATGATCTGTATGATAAGAGACTGGTGGGTTGAGGTAAGAGCAAGGACAGATCACTCACCAGTTACTGTCATGAGCAAAATCAGACCAGCTTGAGGAAAATTAATTTAATTTTTTACCAATCAAATTAGAGTGGGGTAATGAGAAATGAAAACTAAATTTTAAAGCACATCCCCCCACCCCTTCCAACTTCCCAGGCTTAACTTCACTCACAAATTCTGTACCTCCTTCCACTGAGCAGTGCAAGGGAACAGGGAATGACGGTTGTAGTCAGCTCATCACACATTATCTCTGCTGCTCTTTTCTTCTCAGAGGAGGACTCCTCACACTCTTCCTCTGCTCTGGTGTGTGGATCTCAAAGGGCTTCAAGTGGATCTCTGATCCACCACGGACCTCCATAGGCTGCAGTGCACAGCCTGCCTTACCATGGTCTGCACCACAGGCTGTAGGGGAATCTCTGCTCTGGCTCCTTGAGCACCTCCTGCCCTCCTTCTGCACTGACCTTGGTGTCTGCAGGGATGTTTCTATCACATATTCCCACTCCTTTCTTCAGCTGCTGTTGTGCCAGTTTCTCCTTCTGCCCTGCTTCTTAAATATATCCTCCCAAAGGTGCTACCACCATTGCGGATGGGCTCCCTGGGCCAGTGGTGGGTCCATCTTGGAGCCAGCTGCCCTTGGCTCTAATAGATATGGGGGAAGGTTCTAGCATCTTCTCACAGAAGCCACCCCTGCAGCCCCCCTGCTACTAAAAACTTGCCACACAAACTAATACAATGTCTAAGGACACCGCAAACCGAGAAGGTGGGCTCTGTGCCAGCTATAACTATGGCAGCACAGAGGAAGAGAATATTCATCCCAGATTTCTTCATGATTTATGTATCATCCTTCTTGTCAAGCCAGCAGATGAGGTTTGAATGACAGAGGCCTGGTATGAAACAAAATCATTTTCAAATAGTTCCATTGTACATCGTGGTATTCACCTATGATGATGGTGCTAGAATGTGATGTGTGGCTTAAAGACTTTGCTTACCTCTTATACCCTAAGTTGCATCAAACATTTCTTGGCCACTGCTAACACGTTGTGCCCTTGAATATAGTAAGTCTGTAATTTTGTTAGAACAAAAGCTCTTTCAGGTACAGTTTTGCAATACTGAGTCAACACGAGTGAGCAGTGGAACTAACGGGCTTTTGTCAAGTGGAACTCAATGTTAAATAACGTCTGCACAATTTTCCTTCCACATGAGGGCCCACTAATTAGGGTCATTTGACAATTTCCATAAAAATTGTATGCTTCTGTTGGGAATCTTTGGGAATTTCACCCTCTGTTAAATATGATTTATTCTGGGTAGCAGGGTAATACAATATTGGAAGGAATGGGGCCTGTAGATTCCTTAGGAAACCAAGAGTAGTTTCACATTTCAAAATATCCAATGACTATTTTGTGATTTTAGAATGGTTTTCTATTTTTCTGGTAAGTCTGTAACAGTCTTTTGTTTTGCTCTGAGCACATGGTTCTCCATTATGGATTTTCACCTGGGCCAATAGGACATGGGCTTCTCAAAAACCTGTGTATTACAAATTATTGCTTCACTTACTTAGATAAAAATAGACTTGTGTGGTCATTTGCCTAGAAACCAGGAGGCATAAGTTAAATCATCACCTCATCATAGGGAAATTCAATCCCAAATCTCTTCTTATGGCATAGAGTAATCTGGGCTGGAGTTGTTCTCTACCCCTTTTGTTTTCACTCTGGGTATGAACTAAAGAATTACAGGGACAGAAAAAAGGTGAACAGAATGTGACTATAGTTTAGTGTTCAGGATACTTGGATGCGAAAGAATGAGGTTTGCTTGCCCTTTGCCCAAATTTTCTGTTAATTGTACCGTGGTTTCTCATTGTAAAATACATGAAGAGATCTGGTGGGCAGAAAACACAGTATTTTAGAATAGCAACACAAAGAAACATTCAAGACAGCCTGGATAGGAATTCAGATATGAAATGTGATTTGCTGCCTTCTACAGTAGTTGAGAAAAACGTGAGAAACAAAGGATTTGGGTGACTGAACAGGAACTGTCTGGAGCCCTGTCCAGCTTGCACTGCTGGTGACAAATTCATGGAGAAATGTCAGAGAGACAGGTCACTATTTTTGTTTGGACAAAAGGAAAAGGTCTGGTTTCATGGGTAATCACAACAGAGAAGATAGATGGAGTTGGCTATTCAGATGAGATGCAGAATGTAAGATGTGGAGGGAGAATGAAAGAAGAACAAGGGTAAACCCCTACAGAGAAAGACATGCTGCAGTAGTCAGGAGAGCTATGGAAAACAGAGTAAAAGGAAAACTTCTGTTTCCTGTTGTGTGTCTGTACATGTGTGCATGCAGAAGGGAGGGAAGACTGAGGAAGAAGAGAAGACAGCTGTAGGGGAAAAGGGACAAAGCAACTTTTTCAATTTTTCTTAAGAAATCAATTATTCAGCAATTTAATCGATATTTCTTAAGCTGTTTATTAAATACTGCAAGTTTGCATAGGAGAGCTTGTGGAGTCTCCAGCCTTGGCGACTGAAATCAGCCAATCATTTGTGATTTTTAATTAGACATGCAGAAGCATGTATTTGTTTAACTTTCCATACAAAAGAAATGTTCTAAAAATGGTCTTGAAGAACAAATCAATGGTATTTGCCTGACACAAGTAAGAAAGCCAGAAAAGCTAGCTGACCTTAACTCTAGACATACAACAGCTGCTTAAGTTAGGAAAGTGGAAAACTAAATATAACATGTTTGTTCAGAACTCCATGAAATGCTATGAACATTTGGAGCTACCTAGTATGTAGTAAACAAAACCACAAGGTTTATGGTCATGAAGCACTATATCCATGTATACTCCTATATGTGTTAAATTACACTGAACTAGATGTTGCAGTTTTTACTGCTAAGACTAAAAAGACCAGTGGAGTACATGGCTACTGAAGTTTTACTTCTTAGTGGGGACACTGCTAGTAAAGAATTCAAAAAGCAGAGGTAACTGTGGGACATGCACACAGGAATGCTGCACACAAAGACAATGTGTCTGTATGTAAGTGGATTGTAAGAAATGCTCTGAAAATGGAAAACAGAAGCATAGAAAGACCCAGCAGGGTCACCCAAATGTCATGGGTACTATCAAGGTTAAGTAGAACAGCACAGAACCACAGAATCAAGGAATAATTCAGCCTGGGAGGTTGGTGGCTCTGTAATTCACCTTCTGAAGAAAGCAGTCACCTGTGAGACAAGACTGGGTTGCTCTAAATTTATCCATTCAGAGCTTGAAAATCTCCAAGGGTGATACTGCACAAACTCTCCGGGGCAACACATTCCACTGCTTGACTCTCCTTAGGGTGAACTACCCCGTATTTAGTTAGAACCATTCTTGTTTCAATACATGCCTGTTGTCTTTTTTAATCCCACTGCACACCACAGCAAGAGCCTGTTCTCATCTTCTCAGTAACTTCCCTGCAGGTACTGGAAGACTGCCATCAGGAAAATGCAGGCCCATACTTTCCTTTCTGTTTATAGTTCTGCTGTCCTATTGTCACTCTCTGGTTGTAAGCCAAAACTTCCACTTTCTTGGAGCACTTATCTGAATTTTAGGCTGACCTTTTGATGCAGTAACTACATATTCATTCTGTGATGCCTGTGGCCCTTTCTCCCTCTTTAGAAGCCAATAAACACAGTGTAAAAAAATGGTAAGTACCAACAATCAAGGAAAAATTAAAATGTACTTGACCTACCTAAAAAAGTATGTCAGCAGCAACTTAATGTGAACTTGTATTTTTCTATGAAAGGAAACAAAATTCAAATAGATCATGAAAGTCAACTCTGGTGAGTACTGCTGTTTCGTCATAGCAGTCTCAACTTGAAACAATGATTTTGATTAATTTTTTTTTAATGAGTTGCATGGAAGAAATCTCATTAGCTCCTACAGAACTGTCACTGCGACACTGAGCAGATCTGAACCTCACCAGAATATTAAAAATAGGTATGTGTAAGACAATTACCAAGTTGTGTTTTGACACCTGACTATCAGGCTTGTTACACTGTGCATTTTGGTCATCCCTCTCTTTGCATCTTGTCTGTGTGGACACGGTTAGAAACGTACTTTGCTGTAAATAAACTAGATGGTCTCACTATGGAGGTAGGGTAAACAGAGCCAGAGATCAACAAAGAGTGTGAACCAGCCTGTGGGCTCTCATACTTTCAGGAGAAATGGTTAATAACCAAACAGGCTGGAAATTAGGGAATAATGTATCAGTCTTCCCAGCCAGTTTGAGGTGAACACTTCAAAACTTACACAAGAGTAAGTGTGCACAAAAAAAATGCCAACTCACTGCTAAAACAAAACCTATTCAAACTTTGTGTGCAAAAGAAATGGCTCAAGAACATTTTGTACTTCTGAAGAAAGTACTTCTTGAAACTGGCAAGATTAGAAAGAGCTTAGCTTGATGTAGCTGCCTATTGTTTCAGTTGAAAAAGGTTAGTATTGGTGGGAATTCATTTTTTGTTGTCATTTTCATAAAAGCTGTGTGTTTCAGGTCTAGTCCATCCCTTTTAATGCCACTACTCCTCTGCAGACAAGAGGTATTCTGCAGGTGCTTATTTAAACCTACAGCTGCAAAGTAAGAGACAATTTACTGGTTAGTATCAGCATTTCTCTAAACTGGACTGCATGGGATGAACGGAGCCTTTGAGAGAAAGATCACTAGACAACAAATGTTAAGTTTTAAAACTGGTGGAGTGAATGCAGGTATATCAATAATTAATTATCAGTTTATTATTCTCAGTCCCTAAGATCCCAAGGCTCAAGATACTTATTCATGGCCCTGGGAGCACACACACTATTCTCTTTACTATGGACACTGAAGCTAATTCCTCAAGGAGGGATACAATAAAGTTTTATGTGTAGAGAAAAGACAGTTTCTTGCCTTTACTCACCAACAGAAAGTATAATAAGGTTTTAAGACTCTTATATGCTTCACTGCTTTTTTTTTTTACTTGTGCTTATGTGGTATAAGCCTTGCAAATTTTGCTGATGTTGATGGATTCTCTTGCTTGTAAGGTGAGTGTAATGTCCTTTTCCACATGCAGCATGCATATAGAATATAAGTAGCTCGTGCATACTTGAGAAAAAGATTGAAAAGTTGCACTCTGACTCAGAATGTATTCTAGCTTACAGGAAATATAACATCTTTATTTTAAATAAGCCCATGCTGTTTATGTGGAATTAGTGTGGAAATGGGCTTAGCAAGTATGATAATGCAGCAGGTCTCCACTAGCATGGTCAGTTATTAAATTGATTTTAATATAAAAATAGTAATCTCCTGCCTTTTTATGAATAGCTGAGAAGAAAACCCAAATGCAAATTCGTAGTGTTTTCTCATTGTCTTAGCAAATAAACCATTAAGATCCCAGACTGAGTTTGAATAAAAGAGAAAACTTTCCTGAAACTAAAACTGGAGAGATCAGAATATCACTTGAACAAAAACCTCTCACCAAAATCTGATTTAGTCTTTTCTGATTTCTAGGGCACTTTATTCAATGAACTGGAAAGAATCCTGGGCAGCGTGGACACTCACATAGCATTCCCTGTTTAACAATTCTGTATATTAAATATTCTGTACAAAGTAGATACCTTGGTAGTGGCAGAGTCCTCTCTTCACCTGGCTCACATCTAAAAATACCTTCTGTCCTACATATCTGTTGTTTCAATTCTCTGGTATTATTTGACTACATTTTCTGAAAAGACACTAGAATAACTAGTAGCATTAGCTGGTATCATTTTTCAGGTGCTTCCCCTTACTGAGGCAAATAAGGAACTATTTATATAAACAAGCTGAAACA